TAAAAGTTAGATGCGTAGTAACTTTCTAAAAGCAATTTCACGTTACGGCTTTTTGAATGGGATTTGCTAAATTTAGGAGATAGATTGTTATTGGCGCGCTAAGAAATTTGCATGAGACGCCGGCAAGGAAGGACGGCGTAGGGGAGCGGGAGCGAAGCTCAGGAAACTGTAAATATTCGTGTGTACCAGTACAATGTACATATAATTATAATTATACTTTCATCGATCTTAATAATTTCTAACATGACTACTCTGATGAGGAAATAGAGACCATGTAAATAATAATGGCATGTCTCTTTAAATTGAAGCTTTTCAATTATTGACTTTTTCAGAACATTCGTACTCGATGACAAATCATCGGAAATCATCGTTAAGAAATTTAGGCTTCAAGGGAAAAATCTCATACTGTATAGCTTCTAAAAAATATAAACAAAAATGAATATGTTTGTAATATGTGGCACAATATAGTTGTAAGTTTTATTCATTACGTTCATATTAAAAAAATAATGCTTAGTATTTTAAGTAATCAAGCAACCTTATTCAAATGTTTGGTTTAAAAGTTTTATTTCCCGCGACGTTTTAATTTCCATTAAATGGAATCCGGCCAAAGATGGTGGAATCTTCCTGTGCAAGGATTGAGTTCCTCAACTTCATTTTTTTCAAACATTGTTCTTGAATAGCTAGAAATAAGGTTAGGATATTCATGACGGGGAAAAACTTAATCAAAAGACGACACAAAATACAAATCATTTTCGGAAGCGTTGAAACAAAATAAAAAAATTAGATAACTTTTCTGCCATCACAGCCTGATTTGATATTGCAACAGAATATGGCTTCCTTCTGAAATAAACGCAACTCGAAAACATTCACGGTAATAGAGAAACAGTGAAGCGTCTGCTGCTGATTTTCTTAGCTACTTCGAAAGATTCATTCCCACGCGAGAGCATTCCTGCCTCTCCGATAGCATAAACTGGCTTCATAAATTACATCTTAATATGGCTAGCGGGGCCCAACAATACGATTATGTTAGCGATGGCTGTAAAGAATCATCACAGCTGCTTGAGATATTGCAATGACCTCTAGATCACGATGGTGCTTCGAAACAATGGCGGTAGGTAGTGCAGATACGGTAACGTTGCACTATATTTTATTGTGAATGGCTTGGGCCAGATAGCTGAATACATTAGTGACTGCTGTCCTTATCGAAATGGACGTCAGTGTCATCAGTTCATTTCTGTATTACTCGAGCAACACTGAGGGCTTATCAATGAGTTAATATAAAAATAGATTCTTCATTATAAAGGAATTTGAATTAAACATTTAGGTAGACACGCGGGAAAATGTGTGCCTCTATCTAGTTTCCCACAATATTTGACAGCAGAAAAATGTAAAATTCTTCGGAGACTAAGAAATAAAATCAGATCGAAATCATTGAATGGCGAATGACTAGGTGGAGGTAACGCGGGCTGACTTGAGATATCTAATTTAATGTAGATTTAGGATGAGGTAAAAGGTTTACGCTCGTTATGAGGCAAAATAGTATTTAGTTTTCATTAAACTAATTTTAATTAAATTAAACTAATTTTCATTAGTGTCAGTAAATTTTTCCATCGAAATTGATAAATGTCTTAAAAATCGTACTTTTTTGCAGTGAGTCTTGAAATGCGAGGTATTTATGGCAAAACAAGCATATAAACTTTTGTAAACTAATGTCTCTTTGACATTTTACATCTGATTTTACATCTGAAATTGCGTCAAAAACACACACTATGTTGGTCGCACTGCTAAGCGTATGAGATCCATAGCAATACGTGCAACTCAACTGCAGGGTCAATCAAAGTGAAAATTCTACAAATGAAACGCAAAATGGTCTCAAGTGCGATTATTAAAGAATATTCCCTCTCACGGGAATAATAACAAATTTAATTATCACTCACAGGGACAAATGCTTGTGTTCTGGAATCTAAACTTTTTATATTCAGTACTAAGTTATCAGTATTCTTATCAAATAAGTTTAGGTAAATTATGTTCTCGATTTCCATGAACTCAATTTATTTAAATTGCTCTCGTAACTAAGCTTATTTTCCTTGACAATTCTAGAGTAATGCGCCTCAAAAAAAATTCATGTCCAATTTTCTTCAATGCATCAACGTGAAAAGAGTAATTATGTAATTTTAGCGAGGTAAGTCACAGGGTATAGCAATATAATGTTGTGTAGTATGAAGGAAAATGTTACCGCAAAAATGTTGTTTCCATCTCAGTTACAGGACCATTCGTGCAATGGCTCCGAAGACAACAAGGCTGGATGCGCTCGGGAGCCATTATTCACGGCCTTCTATCTGAGTTGTCTGGCTCTGAACTGAACAAATGGAAGCAGTAGACAAGGTGCTCAACAATATCAGAACAAGTGTAATCAAATGCTAAAGTTGGCCTCGTGACTGATGGAGATTGAACACATGACATGGTTCCGCAACATCTGACTCTCGTATGAAATGACGTCACGCAGATCTCGCTGACATGGCTGAATTAGGTTGCTTGTATGCGCGTTAAGACGCCTCGCACAAGTGAACAATTCCACTTCAAGACTCGCAGAAATAAGCCCCCTGTCCACCTCTGAGAGTAATTGTGGACTGAATAGTTAAAGATATTTATGTGTGCATTAGTATATCCGACAGCGTTAGGGATGATATTGATGACTGCAACGAGATTGAGAATGTATTTACCTTCATTTTGTACTTATTCAGCGAGAATATGCGAATATTAATAAACTTGTAAAATGATGAAATAATTACTAATTGATTAAATGATCGGAAACATGTATTTTTATATGTTTTCCTTTTTTCATACGTCAGCTATGTCACATCACTGAACTTCAGTCAATTGATCTTTCATATGAATGTCCATGATATATTGAATTCTAAATCAAGTTAAACTAACATTATCTAATGACGCCGCGACGGGCGAGTTCAGCAATACAGTTTTGTACCTGCATAGTACAGACCGGCTTCACATCGTGATATTAGAGCCTGTCACCTGCCATTATGATTATGTTATCTGTTACCTCGCAAGGACGTCGATCAGAGTGCATGCCTCAAGTGTGTGAATGCTGCTACCAGACGTAGGAACCTTTGTGTGCGTTGTGCGTGATGCTGTTGCATTCAAAGCATGGCACACCGAATCGACACTTCTCCGGACCCGCCTGCGAACTCAAACGCGAAACCCAACTACTCGCTCAGCTTTATTGAACATGATAAATATCGAACGAGTGGTTTAGAATATGATAGAAATAAATGAAAAAATTGCAAATGATAGAAATTTTAAATTCATGAATAAATCTAAAAGCAATATAGATCTTTTGAGGTCTGACAAAAAAAAGTAACTAACGAATGAAAAATATGGTCACCTAATTAACATTTTCTCCAAACTCACCGGCTGACTCAATAGCGACTGAAACGCAAAACCAACGTTATTGCATTTGCTATACCCATAACTCTGTTAATTCTGTAGTGATCTATATTGAAGCAAACTAATTCTTGGAGCACCAAAGTTCCGCCTCGAGCATCGTCACAATTTCTCGCACTCATCATCGTTCATATTATAAACAAAAAAACATTTATTTTGCCCTAGTGCCTCTCTTACTTAAAACTCCGTCAATTATGAAGCTTTCCGGATGAAATTTATCATTAGAAAAAATGTTAAAGCATGGTTAAATGGTTTCTTTTAGATCTCTTTTTTAAAGAAACGAAGTTTGCAAACGATTAGTTTATGTTAGGCAGGGTTAGGCATGCATAGACTATTTATGACAACGTAGTCACAATAACATAACCTAAAATAACATAGCCCGACTTGACCTAATTAATAAAACGTGAGCAAATAAAATACGATTGGTCGATTGCATTGTTCATAGAACTTGGTAATTGCCGGCTTATTGTAGAACATTTATCTGCAGATGACACGGCCGACAGAATCGCTGATCGAAATATTTTAGCATATCCTATTTAATTACAGAAAAAAAATAAAAATAAAACATTCTTTTAGCGTGAGTTGAGCATAACTCCCATAAAAGAAACACTAGGCTTGTATATATGACGGGTTATCTTGAATTAATATCAGTTTAATAGACGAAGATACAATACAACATAAAATAAGTATGATTTATAACTATTCAATGTACATTTGCTCACACGCTCATGACTGTTCATGATCCTAAATGCTTGTCGTAGAAATTATTCAAATATTGTCTGAGAACTGAATCATCAAATACTTCTCTTAGCTTAACTGTTTTTGTTCCCAATAATTTTTCTATAAAAGTAGTTTATATAAGTTGCTTGCGAGCAACGGCTTCTCGAATCATCATGAAACGTGCTTGAAGGCTGGAAGCAATTTAAAGATTTTATCTTTAACCTCTCTTTAAGATACTTTGATTGATCAAATGAATATTATATTCATGTTACAAATAACCCTGGCAATCGTGCATTTATGGTGGTGGCGGGTTATAACTTATAGCCTAGGTTCAGAGATGACCTCACTTCAGGCCAGCCGTTGCACCTGGACATGGCAAAGGTTGATGAAGTTTCTAGATTGTTTTTCTTCGCTTCACTTTATTTCTTCTGGTTCTTGTACAACATCCATGTCCACCATTGACATGATTCTTCTCACGTTTTGTTGATCTACATCTGTTCTTCAGTTTCATAGGGTCTCCAGCCGTTTTGTACATGTGAGATATGTGCCAACTGCTTTCATGATGCTTTTGTGCATTTATGCAAAACGATGCAGCACTTTAATTTGATTTTTTGTACTTGCGATTGTCAATAAATTCTAATTTGATTAATTCTATTAATTCCTAATTCAAACAGGTAAAAAAATTTACGCACGACTCCTCACTCGTCTTTATTGAGCTCATCTGTATTGAGACCTCCACCGGATTATCATAAAGCTAATTTTGATCATCGAAGAGGTGTGTTTGCAATTTCAAACTTAATGCCTACTTGCCAAATGGATACGACCCTAAAATAATTTATTTCTCATAATAATACTGAAATGAAATATTCACTATTATAAACTTTCCATCTGAATGTATAGCCTAATATCATTTTTTCTATGTTCTAACCATGTCAGTGAAGGTGATTCACTTCATTTCACGAGTCAGGTCAGGACTTCATCATATGTTGTCCTTGTCACCGTCCATCTTCAAGCTTTCAGAATTTTCAGCGTGTTCTTGTTCAGGCAGAATCAGGTCTCAACCTCCAATCAGCAATTAACAATGGCAATATCAAATATGTACATATTTACATTTTCTGTTCATGTAGACTTGCATGATTAGCTTTAGCTAGGCCCTTTCAATAATTCAATTCAATTCTTGAGTTGTTGATCTGTTGTTCTAGCTCTAAACTTGAAAATTGCTGGTTTGCTTTGCTGCTGTAGCTAAATGTAATCATGTAATGCCATGGTAGCCTAGATGGTATGGTGTGATAGGCCCATAGTGACAAAGCAGAGAATTTTTTAGACTCTCCCTCAAGTTCATTTTTGAGTCCTATAAGTAGACCAGTAAAGTATCATGGATACCAGCATTATCATACTTGAGAAATTGGTTTAAACCTTGAGTTTTGAGGAAATTAAAAATGAACTGATTCCAAAAAAGCTCTGGTTTGCCACTATGGTGATAGCCTAGGCCACTATGCAGAGAGTGATAAAGATTTGAAAGATATTCGGAGACGAATTAGCAGACAAATTTACTTCTTTGAAGATCTTGCCGACGCCATTTACCAATCTTCCCGAAGCTTCGGCGACGCAGTCAACCTTCCAGAAGCTTCGGCTATGCTGCCAACGATGCTTTCTGTGAGGCGAGTCAGGCGACGTTTTCCGCAAAAGCAGCGTACAGCGTACAGCTGATCAACACATTTGGCAACCTTCTAGAATCTTCTAGAACCTTCGGCGACGATTTTCTCTAATCTTCAGCAAGGCAGAGCATAAGAGAGAACACCGAAACACCACTGGCAACAGTGTGAAATAAAATCTTCAGCAAACTTATTTAATTTATTGTTTCACTTTAAATGCTTTACCAAATACCAACACATTTTTTTTAGCATAATTGAACAAGTTTACTCTACTACTACTCTTGGTCGGATTGTTTACATTACATCGTGACGCGTTAGGGACGCTTGACCCGCTTGACCGGGCTCCATTGTACTGTCTTCTCTTCCTTGCAAGTAGATAAATACATACATTATGATACATAGATAGATAGTGTAGATACATACATAGTTCATTGAAGACCAGAAAATTCTTTTTTGGCAATTTTCTTATTAGTGTTTTCACTAGATCGAACAATATTTTTCGTTTGCACTTTTAACTTGATAATGAATGATTAATACATTTGAAACGTTGTTAAAGAAATAAAAATGTCCATCGGTACCTATGCTGATTTTCGATTTACCAGTGCAAACGAAAAATATTGTTCGATTTATTGAAAAATCTAATAAGAAAATTGCTAATAAAACAAATTCAGGCATAAAACTTCCAAGTGGTTAGGTACTTTATAGAAACTGAGCAAGTTAGCCTATGTATTTTATGCCTTTAAGAAGTTCATTTTTTGCCTCAAATAACGATGTTGGGTAGAAAAAGTGGTCTTGGTGGATCGAAATAATATATGAACGTTCAAAATTAGAATTCCATCCTGGCAGGGTAAATGCACCATATTCCAACACTGTGAGTGTGGGTAATTCTGACACCCCTCAACTTTTTCCTTTATATTAAGCTTGGTCTTAGTTCCACGCATGCGTGATGCGTAGAGGGTTGAAATAGTGACATCAAACTATTGTGCGCCAGATTTCCGCAAAACACTAGGTCTAGCAGGAAAATGCTAAGATCTGCAGAGTAAAAGTCCAAATCAACTAGTGTAGTGAGAACATTGAAACACATATGAAAGTTGATAGTTGACCTTGCTTTACTAAATAGTGATAAACAGTTTGTGTAGAAAGAATCTTATGGTTTGAGACTTTTAAATAAGTCTGTGAATATATTAGGAATTCTTTAAGTATACTTTTATTTGCTGATTTTAAAAGGTAAATAAATTAATAGATGATTGAGTTAAGAGATGGTTTTAGACACATTAAAACTAATTCCTACAAGGTGTCAGAATTAGGACACACAGCCATGACACTGGGTGTCGTATTCTGACACAGCTCACACAGGGTGTTGGAATTACGATTTTAAAATGCTGTTGGAATTAGTCTCACAATATGCCGCATTTAGTCACACACAGTGTCGGAATTCAGCAATTTTATAGATTTGTATTCTAAAGGCTTTTAAATAAATATGGTAACAGTTTGTGACGTTTCATCATTGCTGGTGTGACGTAAACCAATCAGAACTTGAGTTGCGCATACTTGACTTGACAAGTTAGACGCTTGAGGCCTTTCTCAGAGACCTGTTTGTCTCTCCGAGACTATACTAACTTTTGTAATATTAGCAAAATTTGGGGGCGGCTGGGTTGCAAAAAAAAGTTAGTGTCTAGTTCTGGCATGATGGAGCATGGATACGGTGATCTTGGATGCTCCATGGAAGGATACGGTGATCTTATTTATTTAACATAGTGGCATTCTTAATGCCTTGTAAATGACCATGTACCTATGTAATTGAGGAGCGCGGTGACCAAAATAAGAGTGCGTTTCCTCCAAAATTATAGGGATAGACTGGATGAGCAAACTACTGTGCTCCAGCACCCAAATCACTTCCTTAACTGCCACTCCTCCAAGGCCCCCAAAAGCCCTAATTCATAGAGTGTTTTTAATTAATTTGACCAAACATGCCTTGTTTCTTTTTTCTTGGGCTTTTATAAATATCTTACATACCTATTGCCCATTTGCCAAATGCTACATTTTTATTACATGATTAAATGTGGAAAAATTTAAAAAGTCTTGGAAAGAATCATGGCTTTATTTTTCTAGAAGCATTATATATACATAATAGATTTGAACTTCTGTTTTTCTTATTGCAGGTGCAGTGTTGGTTTTTAATTCTGCATGTGGGAAAGTGTTGGCTCACGTTGTGCTCTGCCATTTACCAGCTGTTTAGGACCAGGACCTGGTGAAGAGTCGGATGATCTCCTGACCAGCATGGCACGCATGCCTGTCATCCTCAATGTCTATGATATGGTTAGCTGCCATGAAATTTTTCTTGCAATATAAAATAGACTATCAATTTATTAGTTTGACTTCACATTTTAGAATAAGGATTTCATTTGATTTATACATATGTATACATAATTTTGTAATAATTACAAAATATAATAATATACATAATTTTGTAATTATGTGGCTATGATTAGTTCACATTATGAAGCGCTATTTAAAATAAAATAAACTTAACCTGACTAATCCTAACCCCTGTGGGGGTAATCTAAACCCTAAACTAGCCTATTTTACAACCCTAATCCAAACCTATCCAAAGTGGTGTTGAAAGCTTGTTGCACAATAGTACCTATTCATCTTTCTGGTGTAACACATTTTACTCACTAATTACTGAAGTTATAGTGTGATGCAGTTTTTGTTGCTGAATTACAAGAAAATGTTGCCCTATTGACTGATTTATATACATATGTATGTTTAAATACTCCTGCCTGAAATGTTTCAGAGGTGTAATAAAGCCTGCTCTACATATATTAGGATGCTGAACATAAGTTGACTGCTCTGTTGTGGTAATGATTTGCTCTTCCTTCACAGTACTGGACAAATGAATACACATCTTCCATTGGCCTTGGTGTTTTCCATTCAGGAGTTGAGATTTACAACACTGGTAAGCTTCAGTTTATACCTATATTTGTTGAGATATTTAATTTCATTCATCAAACAATTGATGAAACGAATTCAGTTCTTAGTTGGAAATAGTATGCAAATGACATGGCAGTTTTTCTAGCTTAATTTTACTAATTATGTATAAAATTAGAATTCTTCCAATTCATTACTCTGGTATAGTCTTTGATACAACTATCAGTCCTTGCACAAAAAATAGATTCCACTGATGACACAAACTTAATTCAATTATTTTATTTGTTGTCAGAATATGCATATGGTGGGCATCCTTTTCCTATTTCTGGAGTTTTTGAGATCACACCAAAAGATGCAGAAGATTTGGGTGAACAGTTCAAGTTCAAGTAAGATTTTATTTTAAGGATTTTTGGATCCAATATTTCATGAGACAAATGTACCCATAGCCTTATCAATATTTTAACTTGTCTTCATCATTCCTTGTGTGTTGATGTCTAGTTTTGTTTGATGCATTTTGTCCTACTGATATCACTGATGTACACGTATATATCCCTATAGGCAATCCCTGCATCTGGGCCACACAGACTTTACAGAAGATGAAGTCAAGCGCATTGTACTGGACCTGGGCAGGGAATATCGCGGTGACCGCTACCATCTCATGAGCAAAAACTGCAACCACTTCTCATCAGCACTCACACAAATATTAATTGGCAAGGAAATACCAACATGGGTCAACAGACTTGCCTACATGTCTTCATGTGTGCCCTTCCTCCAACGTTGTCTTCCCAAGGAATGGCTTACTCCAGTTGCACTGCAGCAGAGCATTGAAAGGCCTAGAGGTATTGAAAACTTGGGTGAAGAATGTGCCAGTACAGGCAGCAGCAGCAGCACCAGTCCTATGGGTCTATACTCAGCATCTTCCCTTCTTCAGCAATCTAAACTACTACACAGATCTAATCACCAATCTACGACCAATTCCTCGTGTTCCAGTTCCTCTTATTCTAAGGATGTAAGCGGCGGTACAGTAATGAATAGTAAAGCTTTAGGAGGAAGTTCAGGAGCGTCACGCCCCAACGCTTCGTCTCACGACAGAAATTCCTTATAGCACTTGTGCTTCTTGAACTCTCGTGATGCCGCCCAGTGCTACTCCTCTTGTACATAAGAACCAGGTACGAATGATGAGCTTCTTATGTGTACAGGGCCCAGTTTTAAACAGAATTATTTTCCTGCCATTGCTTGCGTGCATGCCTATTTTAACTCATTAAAGACCAAGTCCGAATATTTTTAACTGGGATTATTCCTAATTCATCCCCTAGCTCATTAAGGGACCTGGAAAGTTTTCCATGCCCTTTTTGTACGAGTATTACGTCCACGGCTGATAGAAATAGCTCAATTGGCGTCGCGCAATTTCAAAATTAATGGACATGAACAACTTTTGATATAAATGCACTTTTTATGTACCTGTGAGGTTGTACTTGAGATTTTTCTCGAATGTTCTCCTTGTGCAAAAAATTATGAACTTGAACGATTTAATAAACTTCTTATAATGAGCTTCGAATTTCCGGAGATCGCATCAACCGTGTGCTTATTTGTTTAACACGTTGACTACGATTGCTTCATCTTGTACTTTTGTTTCATTTTTCTAGTACTTTTATGGAACAGGGTTGCCAGACTTTCTTTTTTTACCGGACAAATTCCGCGATTTAGTTTTTTCAATTTAGGTGGTCGGCTAAAATTTATGATTGGGGTTGTAAGGAGCACTTCCAGATTAAATAAAAAAAATTGAAATTTTACACCGGAAGCTACAAATATACTAGTATATATTGAGTTATAGGCCTTTTTGGCCTTTTTGTTCACGGACTTAATTGGCCGTTTTTAGGCCATCTGGCAACCCTGAATTATGTACCAGGAGAAATACATTTCGTGGTACGCATATGTACCAATACGTAGTCAACGTGTTAATTGGTAGGTGCGCGTTTTAGGCCCTGAATTAAGTTAAGAAGCTTTTCATGGACTGAAATTAAAGCAGTGGTTTTTATGGCGCCCTGCTATTGGGCTATGTGTACAAGAAACTTGTATCCACTTATGTTTTTCGACCTAATTAAGATGTTCCATGACTAAAGCCTATACAAATATACATGGCAGGGAATAAGCTGTGGATTCCCGCCTGCATTTTATATTGTTTTATTGTTAAATTAGCATTTTGGAAAGAGCATCACTGCCTTGTAAATGACAAAGATCTCGCTCTGCTGAGCCTACGTAGGTACGTCAAGATGCTGTCTGTGTTGAAAGCCAAGAATGTACGTGGCTTCCATTTTTTACTGGACAAATTATGTGCTAATGCATCATATAATAATGTAATTTATTATCTTCTATTTTTATACAAGCCTGTTTAGTACGCTACTGCTGGCAGAAGAGGCTTTAAATGGTAGGTTGACTAATTAGTATTTGTACAACGTGTTATTTAAATGATTGTGTGACTGTTTTTCTTGAGCTTCGCTTGTATGCAAACTTATTCATGAATGAGTTATTTGTATCCGTTAGCATTGGTTGTCTTGCATACACTTATCATCAATTTGTGTAGTTCTTATCCTACTCAAAAACTATTTTCTAATAGGCACCTGATGCATTTATTTCGTGTCAAGTCTTTTTAACGTTTTTGATAATTATTATGGAAATGTCGGTGAAATTTAAGTTAATGTTTGCCACAAGTATTGGCATAACGTGTCTAAAACTTCAACGTGTTTTATCTAATGCAAATTTGTTGGTCTTCCTGGAGGTTGTTTTCTCGTGTTCTAGGTAATCTTCTTGTTCGATTTTTGGTTGTGAACAAACGATATGTAGAACTTTATTCTACATTTAAATGCTGTTATTAAGCTTAATCTCTTTACCATTGTCAAGATGAAGCTATTTCTCACATAAGCTCGTTTACCTGTCAGTTGTTATAACTGTTGGTGTGCTGTTGCTTCTGGAAGCCAACTTCATCAGTGTCACTGCTTCAGCCTGGTTGTTGGGATAACAGCGGTGTCTGTGTTAATTAGGTCTTTAGACGTATCGCCGACTCCTAACATCACAGAACATTCACAGCTTGTTGCGGTCTCGAATACACAACTAACTGCTCCAATTTTGCTTTGCTTAACCGCCCGGCCTCCTGCCAATTCTGACCAGAAACCGTCGTCCAGAGCTGGGATGGAACGGACACCTCTCTGATCCAATCCTGGATATCTCTGAACTGTAACCACAGGGTCACTCTTTGATGTTGGTGGAGTGTGAGGACCCGACTTTCTGGCTTCGAATATTTTAGTCTCATACGTCGATATGCTGTGACTGTTCTATGAAAATTCACTTTAATTATGCGTAGCGGCTGATTTCGTGATTATGATTGGTCGATTTAGCTTGAAAAGCCGTTGTGAATGGCTAACGGTATAACGAACAAGTAACTATTTTTGGTGGTACGGCCTGTGGCGTCAGAAAATCAGGGTGGCAACATCGCTTTTTACTGTACGCTTGTACTCTTGTTCATACAATTATGCGTTGAATATACTTGAAAGCTTGCATCACTAGAATACTTCTCTCTGCTTGTAGTTGATCAAGAAATAATTGAACTCCATATTTTATCTTATAAAATACAGGTTTTCTTTATCCTGAATTTATCATTTCCATTCTCCGCGAGTTTCACTGCTTTGGCTCATATTAAGGTAATCCTTATTCTTTTAAGCCTATCCCTCGCAACTGACATATTAGGGTAAATTTGATAACAAAAACATAGTAACAAACTTATTACATTTTATACTTCTATTCTTACGCATTTTTGAGATGAGACCGTGAAAGTTCAGTACGCATTGCATATGACGGTTGCTCGAGTACCGGCAGTGCGGGACTGTGGGTTGGTGGCTCAGTGTCTCCTAGACTGACATCTTTTGACAGGATTTAGTACGTAGAATATTCAAAAATAACTGGATTTCATTAAATTCTTCGTAATTCTGCGCTGATATAAGTATGTCGCGGCTGAGCCGTGTCACAAGGCGGGTGTGCGTGCTGCACGGGCTCACAATTGGCCAACACGCTTTGCTGGTTCAACTCTATTTGCTCATTTTGTGCTGAAGCGTTTCCGTAAAAAGGCTGAAGTGAAGTCAAAGGAAAGAGGTGGCCAAAAGGGGCAGGGTGGCCCAGTGGTTAAAGTTCAGAGTACCAAAATTGGAGCACAGAGGTTCGGGTTCGATCCCAGCTCTGTGCGCTTGTTTCTGGTCAGAATCGGCAAGGAGGCCGGGCGGTTAAGCAAAGCAAAATTGAAGCAGTGAGTTAAAAATGAGCAGTGTTAAGAATTGGCGACAGGCCTCTGGCCTACGAAGCGCTGAAACCGCTATAAAAGAATGCGAACAAAGGGTGGTAGCGTGAAGTAAAAAGTGATTCCATATTTTCTTACTGATAAACGAGGGTAAGCTATGGAGTGAAGGCACAGTGTTGTATGCGACGTGGATTTACTTCACCTGAAACCTAATTTCTCCTAAGCCGAGCTTTGTCACCTTTATCCTGCCTCTCCGTCTACCTTTACACGATTAACATCCTCGTAAGGGTCTTGTATAGATCACCGAACAGTTCCTATGATAAAGTAAAGTAAAGCCTTTTACCCCTGTTCTAGGAATCTGCGCAAGACTCATTTTAAACCAGAACATCACCAAGCCAACCCACTTTTGTGGTATACAGACCACAAATATTCTCCACCAGTGTTTACTAATGAGTAATAAAGAATCTATATTAGATGAGCTTAGCCACGAGGCTCCGTTGGACAAAAGCCACCACCAATCAATGTTTTTCAGTATTAATGCTATAGAGAAAAGACGCCTAGGAAGCGCGAACGTTCGAACTTTGCGAGAGGCGACTATGTTAAACTCCGTGATGCAGTGACTGCGGCGAATATTTCAGACTGCATCGAGGACATAAATGTGGCTGATTTGTGGTTGTTTTTCAGACACTAATGACTGATTAGATTATGCCTGGAGTGAAAAAGTCACAGTAAATGAACAGTACAGTTATAGCTAAGCTAAAGTCCAAGGAAGAAGCCTGCAAGCGTTATTCACGAACTCGCATCGATACTCATTTTGGGAGCGCAGCCGTGCACCACCATATTTGTGCACCAATAAGCCCTGAATCGAACGCCTTGGATTTCTCCGGACCTACACCAATCAGCCGTCCACCACTCGGCTTTGACCTCTTCCGGCCTTGACCACCACCTGCCGTGCACCACCAGGCCGCGGATCGAATATGACTTCCAGGCATCGTTAAATTACGTAATTTTACGTTCACCGCATCTGAGGTTAGGTTTCAGATATCATAGTTCTGTTCCAAAATTTATCGTCCTTTGACAAGTGGCCGTTCGACCGAGGGCTGGTTCGACCCACGGCCTAGATACGGACGGCTTGAAGTGTTGAAGGCTACGTTCCGGAAGGCAGGAATCATGATGGTCCATTACATCCAGGGCAGTGGTGGTCTTCGGCAGGCGACTCTTATTTTAACCAGCATGCAGGAGCTCGAAATCAAGCTAAAAAATCTGTCACACAAATATTGCCAAAAAATAAAAAAAAATAAATGCGGCATTTCTTATTTGAAAAGTAGATCAAGGAAAGATATCCTCTGATAAGGGCAAGGCTAACGTTCTTTTTAGTTCTTTAGCAGTGTGTTTACAAATGAGGACTTGAACAGCATTTCAGCTATTGAGGATCGCCCAGGAGGCTCAAAATTAACAGTTTTCGAAACGCACGAAGAAGAGGTTCTCCAGCAACTGGTCACTCGGAATCCCAAGTCATGTGGACGAGACGGCTTCCATCCTAGATTGCTCAAAGAATTATCAACCACCCTGGCCGGCCCTTTGACAATGCTCTTTCAAAAAAGCTTAAAAGAGACTTAGCCGGCCGAATGAAAAAAAAAAACTCGGGTAAGACTATGTTCAAAAAAGGTGACAAAAGTAGCCTCGGAACTATCGCCTTGTCAGTTTGACATGTCTTGTTTGAAGGCAATGGAATCTGTAGTGCATGAAAGGATCATCGATCACTTAAATGTTAGCCATCTCCTATCAGACTGTCAACATGGCAGTCAGTCAGTCAGTAAATCCTGTACCACTAACCTCTTGTCTACTTGTCTACGTTGAACGATTGGACTTTCCTGCTGGACGAATGGGAGCCAGTGTATGTTGTGTAACCTCGATTTTGCCAAAGCATTTCACAATTCACAGTGTTACACATGAGCGGCTGTTGCTTGCGTAAAGTGAATTCTTTGGGAATAGAGGAAAATGTACCCCGATGAGCGATGAATCATAGATTTTCTAGTAGGTAGACGACAACGTGTCAGTATTAACGGAACAGTATCAATGGCGTGCCACAATGATTAGCGTTCTTGGACCTATTATGTTCGTTGCTTTGTGATGATCGTCATACCGTATAATAATTATATATTTATTTGAATCTGTATTTATCTTTGCTACTCTGAAGTTTTCTGAGCTCATCTTTAATTTTCTTAATTTGTTTTGAAAATATTCTCTCAATTTATAGTCATACTTATGAACTAAACAACTGGTTCTTTCGAGAAGGACGTCTAGTTAGGTAGAATATTTGGATAGGATAAGAGTTTAGTCGATTAGCGGAAGTCGAGTAGTCGAAGTTGGGTGAGGGAGTCTTGTGTACACTGTCCTATGCGTAAAGCGTCTGAATTTACGGTCATGAATTACCAGTGTCTTGTTTTTATCCCCCAAGAGACGTTTACTACCAAAACTTTACTATCACAAACGGCTTTTGTGTAATGGTTGCCTCGTGAAAACTGCTGCAGCGTGTGTGCCACGACTGCTTATAAACGATCTGCCAGAAGTGTCAGGCGTGTGCTCTACCTATGTACGAAGTATGCCGATGACACAAAAGTTTATAATCCAGTTAAGGATGCGTCAAATGAAGTAAAATTAGTACAATAGCAATATAATGTTGATAGTTTATTTAACCGAGCATAAACATGGCAGCTTCGTTTTAATGCCGACGGCCCGACATGTGTGACTGTGAAGTACTTATCCTCGGGAAGAACAATGAACATTTGAACAGCAAGATAAGATAACAGTATGAGAAGACATGGTTGCAACGAGAGAGAAATGATTGAAACGTCTATAGTGGAAAAAGATTTGGGAGTTTATGTCGACACGAAGCTAAAATTTTCTAGGAATATTGAAACGTAAGCTAATAAATCCAATAAACTTCTTGACAGATCAGACGCGCGTACGAGTTCCTAGATAGCAGAAGTGATGAAGCTGCTTGTCGCTGTTGTGCGCCCAAATCTAGGGCTAGATTTTGGACACGCCGTGCAGGTCACCGAAACTTGAAAATGACAAAAATTTAGAGAGTGTTCAAAAACGTGCAATTCCAGGCATGAAGGGCAATTCTTGCGAAGAAAATTAAATATTATGAAGCAGCTTCCAAGTCTCTGTTAAGTGTTATCAACATCTGCGTGGTGGCCTCATTGAAGTAGACAAGTATACTGTATACTCATGGTGTCCCAGAAGGATGACTAGAATTTGAAACGATAACTAACAGCAGGGGCCACGGCTATAAACTAAAAAACTGCGTTGCAGCTCATCCACGCGAGACGCGACAGCGGCGACACCACTTCTCGTTTTGATTCACCGACATGTGAAACAGCCTTTCAGTGTTTCACATGTTTCACCAGGAATGGGCCGGAAATGTCTAGCACGAAGTCGAACCTGGTGGAAGTCTAGTACCTATTTCATACTATCGTCAGTTTTGAAAGGATCCGGTCAAAGGACCTGTTTTTAGATCTGGGAACACGTCACGAAAAGTACAAGAATCGGCGACATGCCACATAAGGACTATTTATTCTTCAGCGCCGACATCACTATGATATGATATGGTGCATATCGTCAATCTATGATGCATGTCATCAAACTATGATGCATGCCAACAATCTATGATGCATGCCAAATGATGCCATCGGCCCATCAATCTATGATGCATGCCATCAATCTATGATGCATCATGCATGTCATGATGTCATCAATCTATGATACATGTCATCAATCTATGATACATGTCATCAATCTATGATACATGTCATCAATCTATGATACATGTCATCAATCTATGATGCATTTCATCAATCTATGATGCATTTCATCAATCTATGATGCATTTCATCTATCTATGATGCATGTCATCAATCTACTAGTGTATGTATGATGTTTTTGCGAAGCTAATTTAAAAAACATTTAACGATTTTATTGTTGCACTTTCGATTTATTTACTACATCCTTGTGATAAAATCCTTTTTTTACTACATCTTTACAATCAAATTTTAACTTTATTTCACATCAAGTATAGTTGTCTTAGCAACACACTGGTGTAACTGCACCAAATTGTGTTAACAAATGTTCTATATACGCATAACGAGCCCCACGGTCTATTAGAAAATGAAATTACCTTGAGTATTAATGAACCGGTAATTGGATATATTCCGATTGATTCTAGCCCAGCCTCCTATTTCGTTAACAGTGCGCCTGGCACTAGCATTACCAGCCCTATTATCAATTACCAGCCCTATTATCTATAACCCGCTCTATTATCAATTACCAGTCCTATTATCAATTACCACTTTACCAGTCCTATTATCAATCACCAGCCCAATGATCAATTACTATCCCAATTATTAATTGAAAATGACTCGACGATTCTTGAACTCCGATTCTGTGGGTAATCAGAATTTTTTACAGGACAATCACTAAAAACTCTCATAGGTTGTGGAATTCCAAAGTTAAAAATAAAGAAAACCTTACGAGGCCTAAGTAGCATAAGCTAACCAGTTCACCAAACCAAATCAAGCAATTTTTTAAGTATTTTTCGATTGCTATTCAGGAGATACTGTAGCGTTCAATTGTGAAAAAATGTACCAAAGAAAAGTTTTTTTTTTTCTTTCAGAGGATTCTTTAGAGATGAACTAGAAGAGTTAAAAAATTAATGTGGCAAAGAAGTGAGTTGCAAGGCATGAAGTGAACTTCTATACGTTCCTTTGTTGCCAAAACGTCAAACGCAACAGCTTATGCAGCCGTCACCACTGTTGATAGACTCTCAGTCATGGTGGACATTTCGCAACACGCAATGGATGAGGATCCAGGTAAAGAAATACGTATTTCATCAATAAAGAGTTACAATGCTTCAGATGCAAATCGAATCTCTTTAAAATAATGACATATATTTTTCATTAACTCCCCTTACAAGAAATAAAATGTATTCAAGATTTTTTTCGGAAATGATTTGCAAGATTGTAATCCTACTGTCCTATAATATAACATATATTTTTAGAATAACGGTTTCAGCGTTTATTAGGCCGTAGGCCTGTCGCCGATTCTTAACATCGCAGAATATTCACAGCGTGTTGGGGTCTCGAACGCGCTATACTCACTGCTTCAATTTTTGCTTTGCTTAACCGCCCGGCCATGGTTGAACTATACTACTAGTACTAGTTCAACCATGCGCCCGGCCTCCTCGCACGTCTCGGACAAAAACGCGGCCTCTCTCACGGCCGGTCTCGCGGCCGTGATTCCAAATTCAGTGAGCGTGGAATATCTCGCAAAATACTGAACGTAGCTTATTCATATAACTCAGGAATGAAGGCGAATTTTGAAAAATTGTCACGAGCTAAACATCACCGTTAGGCTCTAATGATTATGTGTACCAAGTTTCATCAAGCTACGTTCAGTATTTTGCGAGATATTCCACGCTCACTGAATTTGGAATGTATTTTATCCTATTTTTGAAATTCGTTGTAATATTTTGTAAAATGTCTTCAAATGTCTTATTTCAATCCGAAGAAGAAATAAAATCGCATGAAAGTTTGTGTATCGCCTGACTTAATTTGTAAGTGAAATCGGCTATTTATGAAGCTAAAAAATTGTGATTGACCATCATTTGTAAGAATAGTAAACTCGGGAGGCAGAAACTTTCGCTGTTTCCGAGTTTCTCATGCTGCTTTATATGCAAGCTACAATGATATACAACATAAAATGTTTGTATGAACAATATGTTTTGTTTTCTAATTTCGAACTGAACCTGTAAAATTTAGATGATTAATCACCAATCAGGAAATGTAATCGTTGGAAGAATTTTCTTCTGGATGCAGAACGCTACCCCCTCAGAAGTTGGACGCTCTGTCCATCACTTCTCTCGTATGTACGTTGCGAAAGACAACGTTACGTGAAGGTATCAGTTTAGTTTCAGCGAGCACTCTCAGACTATAATGGAGTTCCAGTGAATATATAGTTAGAAATATCTTTAGTACGTATACATTTTAAGATGCAAGAATTTTTCCTTTATAATTGCCATTGTTTACTTATCAGTCATCAATAAAGTTTCGTAGGACAATTTCGGGCAAAAACGCTGAAATTTACGGTTGCATTTGTGGGAAGTCGAAAAACTTTTACCGCGTGGAAGAATAGGTCTAAGACGTATGGAATAGTTTCGTTAGTGAATTACGAAGTGAATTTTTCGAACGCTTAGTGTTATTTGACGTAAGATTGACCAAACTGCTGTCAATTATCTCGTCTCTAGAGCAAAAAGTAACTAGTAACTACTATATTTGCGCGGCTAAATTTTGGGGAAAGGTAGCACTCGTAGGTAACAGGGTCTGTTAGCAAATTGTTTTTGGCTCCTACTCTACCTTTGCATGTTAATAAGCCGTTAAGCATTATCAAACTATATTCCTTTTCGTAAATAGTTTCCTGAAAGTAACGTATATTCGGAAGATTTCTTATCGCTAAACAATCGACCCACCATCGCTAAGCAAAAGTTGATTAAAAAATTTGTGATGAGAGGTTCGAGTTTCGATACGAACTAGATAGAAACAAATGCGTTGCGCTCATACAGCTTCGGATGTGTAATTAATTTTGCAGTTGCAAGTGTGGCCTCGATCCTCCCGCATGTGTTGTAAGTGTACAGGTGTGCGCCCAAGGCCAGCCAGGGGGCGAGAAGAAATTGATGCTGCTGACGCAGGTTTACCCAAATGTCACGCGTACATTCCTTTCATATCCTAATTATGGAAATAGACTAATTTATTCTAGTATCATGCGATATCTCTGATAAGAGTCAATCAAAACGAGTATCTGGTTTAGAGTACAAGGATTGGAGCAGAGAGGTGTGGCTTCGATCCCAGCTCTGTGCGCCAGTTTCTGGTCAGAATCGGCAAGGCGGCCGGGAGGTTATGCAAAGCAAATTTAGGGCAGTGAGTTGCGCGTTCGAGACCATAACAACCTGTGAATGTTCTGCGATGTTAAGAATCTGTGACAGGTCTATGGTTTAATAAATGCTGAAACCGCTATTATTATTATTATAATAAATATTTCTTTATGCAGGGTTAATTTCCTCAGATTTTGTCAGTATTCAAGTTCCAGCTGCTACCGCTCTTTAGATTTTCTTTTCGGTTAGGTTATAGAGTCTCGCACATGACTCGTAAAAAATCAGTTGAATGTGATTTTTGAAAATTTCTGCAAAGTTAATAAATATTTACGATTGTGCTCCGTTCATTCAATATTTTTTCATTGATGCAAGATCTTTTGCTGGCCGTTAAAGGCATGGTTTAAAGGTGTCCCTGTTTGAAACGTGACTTCCTAAGTGTGGATGACAGTCTTGTCTTTTTTTTCTGGGTAACATTGAATAAATCTTCCACTTTAAGCCTGTGATGACGACAATGCTGTATCAGAGCTGCAATCGGAGATGTCCTGGTCAACTATAGAAGATGAGATCTTTGACGATGACCTGGAATTGTCATTCGATGAAGATTTCGGTAAGTTAACATGAAGCAAATTCATGTTGAGATGATCATTCCAGACTTATTTTACTTATCCTGGTAGTTCATGACGTTCATTTCAAGCCCCACGCCATTCACATGTGTGTCGTGATTAAAAAAGGTAGAGCGAGGGAAACAACTTCTGCAGCGCTTTAGTTCTAGGCCGATGGCTGAGCAATACAGACCCGAAGAAACACTATTGATTGTGCCCGAGAGGGCAACGCAAAATTTGAATGAAGGTCAGATTACTAGAAACGCAGGACATTAAGTTCAGTTTGCAATAAATTTCATTGCACATCAAGAATAGGGTCGTGAAATTCTTAGAACAATATTCCATTTAGCCGTCAATTTTCTGAATAGGTAAATTTAGGGAAACGGGTCAAAAGAGCTGTCGTGCATATGAATGTTCTTCTCATATCTGTTTATAATCGACGTGCTCCTAATTACATACCGATTAATTCTTGTTCTCATTATATGTATATACATTATTTTTTTGTTGCTAGTCATTGCACGTTCGTAGGAAATTCGCTTTAGTTCAAGGTAAAATTTTTACTTTTTTACGCGCAATTTAGTTGCATCAGGGAGACACCTACAATGACAGAAGCATGTTTGAGTGACTATTTGCTTTCAGATGACAGGGAAGAACTGGACGACTTCAAGTTTAGTTCTTCAATGGGGGGTGATGAAATGGAGGATGGCTTTGAGCCAGATATTAAATTAAAAGGAGGCTTGGGTTTTATCCCGCAAAGAAGAAATCTGAGTAATAATTTGCTGCCCTACTCGAATCATCTAGATGCTGAAATTGTTGAAGAATTGAAAAATATTAAGCTAAATTTAACAAAAGCACTTGTAGCCTCTGATCTGAAATGTGGTGGCCTTACCTGGATATATAGATTGCACAGGTAAGAGTTGGAAGTTGGTTCTATCCAACCTGAGTTTATAGCTGTAAATAGACTCACTTTATTCTGTAATTTTAAATTTGGATTACTGTTGCTTGAGTTGCAACAATTGTTAAGTTACAAAGCCTGGTCTAGTCACTCTAGTCTCTAGTTCACTGTTCAGGACTTCAGGCTCAGGGACTACCTAGGCCAGTCTAAAATTTTTCACAAAATTTTTGAAAACTGTTACCTCGTACAGTGATAGGTTGATTTTAGAAATTAAAAAATGAATATTACATTTGAATATATCTACTTGCTAACAAAGCTATTTTTTTAAGCTAGTTTATTTATATTTAAGCTAGGGAGTAAGTCAGTAAGCTTCTTTTCCAGGGCAAGTGCTCCTATTTTGGCTGCCACGCTCCCAAATTCCATAGGTAGATGGTCATTTCATTAAGAAGGCATTTAGTATGCCACCATTAACCATCTGATAGTATGATAGTTTCTAACTGTAGAGTGTTAGACAGAACACAGAAGACAGAAAATTGGACAGAAACCAACCATGAATGGAACAAAAATGCCTATTCTTGTGATCAATTTGACCTGTTTTTGTATGGACTTATGGCATAATTTTTGTGAAACAAATGAGAATATTGACCCATTTTGTCACAAATTTTTGAAAATCTTGCTAAAAAATAAAAAATAATAGTTGATACCTACAATTCTTAGAGAAGTCTCAATAATCTTGCTTGTAAATAAACAATATATCATCAAATTAAGGCCAATGGTCAGCAGTGTGGAATTCTAGAGGGATATTAAATTAACCAGTACACATAGCATATTGGAAAGCAGGACCTGAAAGCTTGGAAAGGCCAGGAACTTTCCACTTTCAGTCCATCATATCATATACATAACCTATCACTTTCCAGCTTTGATTGGTTGATGGGATTGTGATTTTAGCCCCTTCCAGCTTTCCAGCTGTGATTGGTTAATGGAATTGTAATGTTATCTGCTTTCTAGCTTTGATTGGTTGATGGGGATGCTTTCAAGCTGTGATTGGTTGTGCCCATAAGCCCCGCCCCCAAATATGGTATATGTCTACAGTACTGGTTAACTAAATAGGTACTCAACTTGAATTTGATCATTACAAACAAAAAGCCTGGATAATTTTCAAAAAATCCATTAAATAAAAGAAAAATATAAAATATCTATCAAACAATTTTATAACAAATCTGAGGTACTGTACAATTGAAACAGTTTGTCCACTTTTGATCCTCCTTTTCATTTATAGTCAGTCACCTGGCACTTGGCAGAGCACTGTATCTAAGGAAAGCATTTCACCTTGGGTGGAAAGCTTTTTTATAAGTGAACTTCCATTTCTAGAATTCCACCCTGATGGTCAGGATAGTGATATTCCTATTTATGACTATAGACCTGTGGCTCCAAAGCAACAAATTTTTAATACAGTCTGAATATTGTGGCTCATACATACCCTTTTACCTATTAACAATTTGATAGAAGGTAATCCATCTAGCAGGAATCTATTTCACCTGAGCATCTTCAAAAATGGCAGGAGAACTCTGGTCCCAGTTTGAATGGTAGACTACCGTCAACCGGGGCTACTTGGGACGGGTGGGGTAACTCGGGACAGTCCTCTGACATGGCATAAAACTGTTTCAGTAGCAAAACTAATTGGAATATTGTAAAACTAAATATAGTGGTGTAAAGTCAACATTTTTCCTATATGTAGAACTATATAAAGGAAGTTCAAAAATACTACATATACTAGCTTTGAAAAATTCCTAAAAAAATGATGAAAAAACAATATTTTGAAAAGTTACTTCTGCTAAGGTCTGTAGTAAAAAAAATATTTGCCATATTAAAAAATTTTGCTTAGAAAAAAGTGGTAGACAAGTGTCAGCATGAAAACTTTATTTGCGGAATATACATACCTCAATCCCAAAAAAATGGTGGCCATTTCTGCATGGCGGGGCTACTCGGGACACCCCCACGGGGCTATTCGGGACACCCCCACGGGGCTATTCGGGACACCCCCAAAAACGCATTTACAGTAGAACCTCAGTTAGCAAAGGCTCCAGTTACGAAAAAATTGATTAAAAACAAAGAATATTGATTACATTTACCTCGCTCAGCGAAAAAATTTCACTTATTGAAAAATGAGTGCGTCATCGGTCATCACAAAATTTTGCATAGAATGTCATATATAGAATTGTGCACCAGGCATCATAGAATGAAATTAATTGACCTAAACTATGATTTATTTCTCCAAAACATATGATGGTTGTCACTAAAACATTCCTTTCTGTTTCAGGTATGTTTTCACTATCTTTTTTTTTATAGTAAATTCACTTAACCCAATTAAAATGGTGTGAAATTACAAGCCGTCCTGTAAGCTTACAGATACAGAAAAAATGCTATAGGGCTGCTGATATGAAGCTTGCAGTGGACAAGGTTGTTGTAAATGCTCAATGGCATGTTCATGGATATGGTAATAATGCATCAATAATACGGTAATATTGCATATAATGCGATTGGTGCTGGTGGTAATGTGGTAATGCTGGTAATTAATGTATATGGTAATATCATATCAATAAAGGGAAAACAAGTAAAAATCACAGAAAATGTCATTTATTCTACCTCTACATCATCTACAATGAAAGAGGAGGACTTCAGAGTACTGTTAGTAATGGATGAGTACACTCTGCATGCATCAAATGTTTTAAAATGAAGTTTTATTCCAAGTGTCCCGAGTAGCCCCATTCTACAGGGCTACTTGGGACACTATTTTTTTTGGCTTCTGGCACCTTACAAATAGCATATGGAATTTTTTTGGAGAAGCCATGTGATAGCCCTTGCAAAGACCTTTGAAATGAGCCTAAACTTGTTTACGAAATGTTCCATGGTAATAAGTTATGAATGAAAAACGTTTGAAATTGTCCCGAGTAGCCCCGGTCGACGTTATTTCTAATTTTTTTCTATAGTAGCTATTTATTGAAGGAAAATATTTTACTAGAATTTTAGAATTACCCCTCCTGTATTATAATCTCAATTACCCCCTTATGAACTTTTCCTACTGGTGACTGAAATTTTGCAGCCCAATTATGTATTTTTGTCTACAATTATTAGAATAGAGGTAATTTGTATAGCTGGAATATAGCAGCTCTAAAAATTGGTGGGAAAGCTGTTGTCTGGCTCAGAATATTTGAGGCCAGTCCAACCCGAGATCCATAGTGGAATTTTAGCAACCAAAGAGTCGCCTTGCTCCTCCTGTACCATTGCAACACTCCAGCCATCCTAGGGCACCAGATGGGGGAGGGTGGTCTAGTGACAAGGTGTGCACAACCATCATCTTTTGAGATGGATGGATGTCATACATACTAAAGATTGGTCACAGCTGACAAACTATTTTGAGCCAGCTGTTGGTGACAAGTTCAGGATATATATAATGGATTATCATGGTTAAATATCAATAAGAACCTCTGAAGAAATGTTTTGAGTTATTTTTCAATTACATTCATATACCATATACATGATTAATCTAGGATGCTCTCAAATTGTTTCTGAGTACAATTTTTATATTGAACCCTCAACTTTTTGAGCATCTAAATTGCATTCAAGCAAAATTTTCAACTCTGTATTAGCCAGATGAATGTACAACACATTGATAGTTCCAATGACCATAATTATGAGGTGATGTTGGTAACTTAGCTACAAATCATAATAGTGTTAGCAATATAATTATTTGAGGTATGTCTATATACGTAGATCCCTGGTTATTTGCCTGTGTATCTCTCAGTTGTAACACAGGAGATTTGAGCTCTTGCTTCATTTCCCCTTGTCCTTTGTCAAATTAGTTTATGTACCTATACTTGCATTCATAATCAAATATTCAGCGAGGGTTCATGAACATGATTATACAAGTTTCTATACAAGCATCATACCTAATGAGGAATCTTCTACTTGTTGAAATGCCTTTCTCTTATACAATTGTGTTCTTTTAGGTAATTATCATTTTTTTTATTTCAGATTCATCAAGCTGTATGGCTACTGTTTCAGCAAAGAGGATCATGTGGCTTTCATTGAGCTACTCTACGAGCTCATTGTGGCACCTGGTCTCGTCATCCGAGTTGTGATTCGTTTATGTCAAACTCTCTTGCTTTTGCTCAAGTAATAATGCTTATCACTTAAGAGGTTCTAATACTAGTATATTTATTTCTTGTTTTCTTTAAAATACTTGTTTGTATATCACACAGCTAGCTATGTAACTCTTAGATAGTTGATCCAAATCAACCTGCTATGGCAGGTTGATTTGGAATGAAACTTTATGAACACTGCATCTAACAAATGCATTGTAGCATGCATAACTTCCTAATATATATATATATATACCTCCTCAATTGTGCAGGTTAAGTATAATACTAACATTAACAATCATTCTAAACTTGCAACTTGTTAGCTGAATTTCTAAATTCCAGCATAGATGTTTAGAAGATTCTAATCTGCTCAAAATGTCTTCCCTTATTTTGAATTTTCTTAGAAAAAACTTCACAATGCATGTACCCATATATCTGTCAATGTCGTGCAAAAATTGTCAAGTTATAAAATTTTCTAAAAGGAAAGATGTTATTTTGGAAACAAGAAATGGATAAGAAAATTTATTTTATGCTAAAAACCTATCCAGGTTGCACCCATCATGTTTTCATGTCATTCAAAAATATTTGATTATAATAATAATAGCAATAATTGCATAAATATTGTACATAAGATTTGAATCTGTCTCCTAAAATTTTTTGTTTCTCCAGAAAAATCACACTGCTCACGCCTGACGATATACAGCTACAATGGCGACCTCTTTACGAGCTCCACTGCCGTTTCTTCCACTGTGCTGTGGCAAAGCAAGGAATGCTGCGAGTGCCCATGTTAGTGTACATATAAATATATGTAGGCAATGCTTATTATCTGTCCACGTATTAACTATCCATGATATTGATCTGAAAATCAAGAAATCTGATATATACAGTGGGGGGAAATAAATATTCGTACACTTGAAAAATCGTATTTTAATGTATGTAAGTACACAAACTTAACAGGAAAAGTGATTTAAATTATGTATAGAGACGCATAGTATTCAAAAATACTATCAAAAGAAAATAAATCTCAATGCAACAAAAAACAATGCAACATGTTCACTTTTCGGGTGAAAAAAGTATTCGTACAAAACAATAAATCCGCATTATTTTAATTTAATACTTGGTTGAATACCCTTTATTCAGCTCAACAGATGAATACTATGCGTCTCTATACATAATTTAAATCACTTTTCCTGTTAAGTTTGTGTACTTACATACATTAAAATACGATTTTTCAAGTGTACGAATATTTATTTCCCCCCACTGTATTACTTAGTTTAGTTAGTGCATCTTTCAGTGTATAATAAAATAACTAGCTTCTTGTAGATTCTTATATATTCCAGTCAAAAATTTCTGCCTCAACAATGTACCTATAGTTGCATCCTATTTTTAAAAACTTATTTTGAGACAAGATCCTTCTTTTCTTGATATAGAGATGATATACGAAGATGTTCAGGCTAACTGTAAGTAGCTAATTCCTAAATAAAAAACTGGTTTAATTCCTTGTTTGAATGAAACTTGATTCAGTCTTTAAACGCTGAAACTTTAGCCAGGATTCTGGTGTTGATAGATATGAACTTTGCTCTCAGACAGACGGAAGGAACAATCAATTCTGTAATCCGTCATTGTCGAGCCTACTTTGCGCCTGGCACCACAGAAGAACTGCTCGAAGAGTTTGTGCCCAGACTTTGTCCCTTTGATGAGCAAATGAACCGTTCCATGAAATATTTGGACATGTTCTTGCCTGTGGTCACCCGACATCATGGCAAGCTTCCGAATTTTGGACTTTGGAAAGACTTCTTATTGGGTATGTCGAGCTACCATTTGTGAAGCACTTGAATCTTGTTTATCTATAATTAGAAAAAAGTATCTTGCTTAGTATCCACCATTTATCTAGGAAAAAAATCAGCCAAAATTCAATGTGAACAACTCGATCTTTGTTTGGTCTCTTGCGAATATCATAAATATATCAACTAATTTTTTCTTCAACTTGCTTTCAGGTTGATTGAACAAAATTCATAATCATAAAATGATATTAGAGCCATGAAGTGCTATCCTAACCATGTATTAAAATCTGCAAGTTTGTGTATCTGCTAATCCTGGCTTTGTTTTCTAGTATTTTTGAAATAGCTTTGCATGAAGTGTGTCATCTAGTGTCATTAAGTTCAAATTCATTTTCTTTTCAGCATGAATTCATTCATTCAAGTTTGTTTCATTCATGCCATTGCAGATCAAATTGAAAACAGCCCATACTGGGAGGCGTATGTCTTTGGGATCGTGTCTCGCTTGGCATGGAGAAACATAGGCATCATTGACTGGCAGAAGGATTTGCCCCTGTTCTTCACTAAAGTGAGTATGGTTACTTTTAATAAAAAATGTTATAGTTAACTCAGAGCCAATATTCTCTATTAATTTTGTTTGCTCAGTTAGTTGTCATTAATCAAGCAAATTTATAGATGTTGATATGTGAGAACTTCATTACTATTCAGAGCCTTTAAGATAATTTGGTCACTTTAACAAGTGCTGTGTATGCCAAATGAAAAAACAGCTTCATTCCTCAATTTTATTCCCTTTATAAATCGTTATCAGAGGTTATAAAGACGTGTGTAACTCTTGAGTTGATAGGTAAGTAAGAAGATCTATAAGGTAAAGATTTGTACAACATTTCATCACTACCAAGTTGCTGCGGTCACTGGGTCTACCGGTTGGCTACAGAGGCATGGCAGGCAGCGGGGCCCGCCACTGCGATTCTACCAACGTCGCCATGTTCATCGTTGCCAACCTTGTCAGTTTTGGTATTACCTAAAGTGAACCTTATGCTGCCTGAAGAATAATAGATGTTTTAGGGCAAACTTTTTACAGTTGTACCCGAGTGCAGAACATTCAACGGTCTTCAGCTTTTTAGCTTATTATAGCTCAGCTTCCTTTTTATATAATAGACTGGCTCCCTGAACACCAGTTACTTTTCTACTGCAACATGTGAATGTAATTTTTCATCTGTTCCAAAAATGTACTGATTTAACGAGAACGCATTTAATTAGCCATAATTTCACTGGTCTCATATTCTTGAATTTCTAGATTCCTCTTATATTCTTGATTCCTCTTGGACTATATTTATACATTTTTTTATGTATTCTCCTCCAGGGAGGTGGCAGCTGCTGCCAGGAGCAGCTGAGTAGGTTCATTGGTGTGGTTGAGTCTTATCTCCATCCTTCTAATTCTGGCCACTGGACATCAACTATTTTGGACATCTTCTGCAAGATCACTCTCTACTTCAATAAGAGGATTAACAGGTAAGCTGTCGCCTACACTCCAGTACATCTTTCTTGTTCTTTTGAGCAATTTTCTTGCCCTTATTTAATTTATTCACATTTTTCATCATCGAAATACTCAAAAGTATGTTTGAATTCAATGCATTTTATCATTGTAGTTCACTTTGCCTGAACAAAAACGATTTTTTTTATTGCACTCTCCCATACTTATGCCCTTATATGTGCAGGGAGCAAAGGCCTCCGAAAGAACCATCCTGGGAGAGTAAAATCTCCGAAAGTATGCATCTGACAGAGGCTGACGTAGATGCCTTTGTGGAGAGTCTCTTACCTGTGATCCTAACTGCTGTGTTTGGCAAGAGTGGCGCTGCCGACGCCTCAATCACGCTTGGTAGACTTGCTGCCCTACGAACCTCTCTCGTCATGACCAAGTTTCTGGAGCTGTCAGTATTTATACAACGTTTATATGCGTATCATTGATTGGGATTTCCAAGTTGTGCTTGTTTTGTGTGTAGCTCATTTTGCTGGTAAACTTGGTGCTCCCCTAACCTCCTCCCGTCATGATCAAGTTCTTAGAACTTTTAGTATATCAAATTTATAGGCGTGTCGTGCCTGCGAGTTTTCAGGTTTGGCTTTTGTTGAATTTATTTGTACCTTTTTTGCTGAAATACTAGCTGACCTACGAATCTCTCCTGTCATAACCATGTTCCTGGTCAGTATATGGTGATGCTTATGTTGACTATGACCTACAATTATATGAATTTCTAAGTTTTGCTTTTGTTGGCTTTGTTTGTATTTAATTTTTTAGATATTCATTTATTAACGCTTTTCTTTAAATTTTCTGCCTGTCTTTTTCTTGCATTCTCAATTCTGAAAAATTCGGCATTTCTTGACTTTAAAATCACAAAGCATTGAATTTTTCATCATAAATATTAAATTTTCATCTCTATTGTGGTGTAATTGCTTGCATTCACCTTGTTCTTGATTGAGTGAATTGATGTCCATTTATGTTGAGTTAGCTTATAAAACTAAATGGACAGCTAATTAGGTATATAAGCATATTCTTAACATGGTTATTATCACTTCTTGACTATCTTACACCTACGATAATACTCGTAAATATGTTCACTTGCACCGATGAAGAGTACACAGCTCAGGTTGACATGTACATAGATCAATGCATTTATTGTATGCTTAGGATGTCATAGACGTCACTAACCTCCACTACTGCACAGGATGTACCCTGCGCTGTCCTCGAGCTCAGAGCCGCAGCGCCTGCAGTCCGTCTTGCAAACGGGAGTGCTCACTGCTCTTTCTATCGTCACGGGAGGCTCAGACTTTCCGGCAGGCCCTACGCACATCCTACCTCTCCTGCACCTGCTCCTCCCTGGCATTGACCCTAATGACATCACTAAAACTATGGTCAGATATCATGGTTCTTGTCAGCAATTCATTAAACGGTGATCAGGGTACCAAATGCGCTCTCGGACACCTGTAAAAACAGTGCACTTCTTACCTCCCTGATTGACCTGACCTCCAGCAACCTCTAAAACTAGGCAGAAGGCCCCTGATTGGCCTGCAGCAACCTATAAAACGGCGATCAGCACTCCACTTAATCTTCGCTAGGTTATGGACTCGCGCGGAAGATTCTGTCAATGTTATTAGAAACGACTATAATTATTTACATTTATGAATTCGATATTTACTATGGAACTTGTTTCCCATTGCCTTTTTTGCGACTTTTCCTTGACGTGGAAAACCTCAACCAATTGTGACCTATGAGGCCTGTAAGTTTGGCCGATATTGCGATTTATTATTGTTGTATTGATATTGCGATTTATTTGTTGTTAATTGTAAAATTTTGTGATGCAGGCCACCTTTCAACTTGTGACAACTTTTGCAACTTTGATTCCAATCGCGGACTGCTCATCAGCTGCATCTGACCCTAACCTCAACTTGACTGAGGTGAATCATTGTATTACATTATTCAGCAAAACACTTTTTAGGTAAATTTTTATATCAGTTAACATAATAAATCAATGTTTTCAATCAATTGTCATTGCAAAGGATAAAATTAATAGCTTGCATTCTATTACTGCCGTCTTGTTGCATATATATCTTTGCAATAATCGCAAAAATGGATCTAATTCTTAATAATTGAATATTTTATTACTAGTTGTAAACAAGAGGTTGAAATTCTTTGGGTGTTGGTGCAGGTGGAAATGGAGCTCTGCCATCAGAGCGCAGAAGTTGGAGAATTCCTGCTGATGTTTCTGGAGCGATGTTTCTGCGTGGTGGAGAGCTGTGTGAGCGCTGAACAGCAAACCTTGCAGCCCTCACAAGCAGACTTCGGTGGATGCCAACACGCACTCATGAGCAGAGAGGAAACGCTCATTGAGGCTGGCATGTCCTTTACCATACGAGCAATATTCCAACAGTCACATCCTGAGATAGCTAAGGTGGGTCAGCTTCCAACAGGATATTCATCCCACTCTCTATTTTCATCTAAAATGACATTTTTCTTTTACTGTTTACTTTTTTGTATGTGAACTGTTTTACGTTTGAAATAGACTTGACTAATTTTTCACTTTTTCATTGTTAGTGCCCTTTTCATACCAGGAGCTCCAGTGTTCAAATGGTACAAATATTGATCTAGTTATTATTAAGTTATGCTTTCATGCGAGAATCTGGACAAGTGCAAAAATAATATCTATAGTTTAATTCTCTTGGATATTGACAAATTTACATTTTTGCACATAAACGTTAATACGATATACACGTTTGTTTTGCTGCAGATGTTAAAGTTAGCTTCTTTTCTTTTGTGTCTTGTGTGCATGTCACCAGAATTTGGTACCTCAATTTCACGGTGTTGATTTTGGTTCAGTTGCTGGTGCGGCGCCTGGCGTCGTATGCCATCGAGAGGACACTTGAGACGGGCGTGTCGGGAAGGCTTCTCGCCAACATATGTCGCGCTGCTGCCAGGGTAAAATACATGACATATTGGTTTCCCAACAATATGTATTTTTGAATCTCTCACATTTATTTTGAATATAGCTGCCCGTGAGTTTATGATTAATACTGCTTCGTAAGCTCAGTTTTTAAGTTCAAAATTGATCACAATTTAATGGCTAGTAAAGCCTCTTCAAATGTTGCATATAAATTCTCTTCTGTAGGACTATTGCGTCGTTGGAATTTAATATCATGAGTTGAGAGTGCATTTATTTTTGTTAATTGTGCCTAATGCTAGATGAACGAATATGTTGACATTGTAATATCTAAGGAAATACGAGTTACTGCTAATAGCTCTTTAGTTTTTGAGAGGTAAATGGGAAATTTTATTAAACTTGAACATGCCTATTGCATCTAATAAATAATATGTAAAAGACCTTTGCCTATGTCGATCTTTTTTTAGGTAGTATTGTTTATTTACACTCATTGTTAGGCTGCTTATAAGCCCTTGTTTCTTTTGACATTAATCTTGGAACTAACTGCGATAACTATTTCAATTGCCACTGGAATAACAATATAAATTATTTTGTACAGGCACAACCTGAACTGGTGCTGTCAGCGCTGGTGCCACCGCTCACCCGACAGCTGGAAAGCCTCCTCAAGTCTGAATCTGTTCTTCACGATGAAACACCTGATAATGAATTCATGTTCAACCTGCTTCTGCTGTCTGAGGTTGTTTGCTCTTTTCAACTTATTTTGATCGCCTCGCATTCAAGCTGCTTCGTCTTTCTGAGGTCTTTGGCTATAACTGAGTAATATAGGTAATGCAAAATGCGAGATTTTATATAAATTTATTGATGGGACGTGGTCGACTGTTGACTTATGACTCCTCCTTCCGACAGGTGCTGTCGTGTCGTTGTGACGTGGCCGTGCAATATGTGCACGTCGTCATGCCTGTGCTGGAGGGCGCCCTGGGTGTTGTGTGCTTGTCAGCTCAGAAGATGGCCGCGACATTGTATGGCAACCTGCTCGCCTCTCTCGCTACCTCCTCACCTGTTGATTTTTGCAGCTTTACTAATGATTGGAACGAGCCTTACTCTTCCTTCTTACCCATTAGAGTAAGTTGCCGATGTATGGAACGGAACTCACTTCTTACCCATTATATCTGCCAATTATTGCCATAAATTTTACTTCACTTTAATGCCCTATTGGCTGCATAGCTCGTACGCTGCTCGTTACGACTGTGAAGCTCTTCATTATCTGAAGCGTTCAGTGCCTGTATAGTAACCTTGTGTCCTTGTTTACTTGTAATTTTATCTCTCCATCACCTTTTAATTAAACATTGCGATGCTGGCAGTTTTTGTAAATTAGCCTAATAATGCTTGTATTATTTGTTTTTGTTTTTTTGTCAAATTGAACCAGTGAGAGAATTACTTCAATCAATAAATGTTTTATTTTGAGAATGGATAAAATGTGAAATGAATGGTCATAAGGCAACCATATGCTAAATTCTCCCAAAAAATCAAACATTAGATGTATATATTTATCATCATGTATTTAATAATTTTTATACAAATATAGTATGTATGTAAATGTTTTTCAGCACTGGGGAGCCCTGATTAGTGGTGGTTGGTCAGCGATGAAGGTGAAGTGGGTGCAGCCTGGGCCAGAGGAGAAGGCAGCGCTAACACTTGTGCTCAACTCTTTCCTGCTACCCCACCTTGCTAAACTGCAGGCCGCTGCTCTCAACCTTGCATCTGTCACCAAGTATGTTGTACATCTCACCAAGTATGTTGTTGTACATCTCACAAAGCATATTGTTGTACATATCACTAAGTTGGTGTTGCCTTTTATCTGTTGACATTGCGTTGATCTGTTAATATTGCATTGATCTCTTAACGTTTCATTGATCTGTTGATATTGCATTGATCCGTTAATATTGCATTTATTTGTTGACATTGCATTGATTTGTTGACATTGTGTTGCAGAGAAGAGCTGAACCTCTCCCTGCTCATCGTTCAGGAGTCCCTCAACGCTGGCCCTGTGTTGCCGCTATGGCAGGAAGAACCCATTCAACTGTAAGCAACTCATTCCTGCTCTGTTGTTGTAATGTTCATTTTCATGAACATTACAACACATTTATTCACATGTTTTAGATGATTAGGCAATAAGTCATCCAGTCTCCCAGATCATCTTGCTAAAAGTGGATAAGGCGTAGTTACTCTGAAGATTTCCTCTCTTTGAGAGGGTTTATTGGTTAACGTACGTGTGTGGTTATGTTCCTCACCTTATAATCATAATTTTCTAGTGCAATACTTGGAGACACCATCTCAATAATAATTTTGTGAGGAAGAAAGGATAATAGGTTTTGCATTTTTTGTCAAATAAAATGAAGGGGAGTGAATGAAGTACATCTCATGAATATATGTCTTCTAAACCATTCGTTCCGTGCATGTTATTTAATATATTTTAAAGAGAAGACTTTACTTTATTAAAACGTCTTGAAGAATGAACCTGCATTCCTGATGAATCTATACCTCTATAACAAAAAATATATATGTATGATATACTGCAACAGCACCCTTGAGATGTTCAACATGCTTTAGATAAGTAAAACTCCTTATCTGTTGCAAGTGCTGCCCAAGGATATGATGTTCGAATTTTATGTGTTTTCTTTCAAAATTTTGTCTCTCTTGCTGTATTCTTTTGCCACAGGTGAGCTTGCAACCATTAAAATTATGTTCCTTATATATCAAATCGACTTTTTCAATATTTTGCTCTAAATTTTTGCTCAAGGATATTGGTTTTTCCACAGATATTTCAACGTTTCATGTTCCACAGAGAGATTTCAAGTGCCCCAGAAAAACCACACTATCTTATTTTGAGCGAGCAAGATGTGAGCATAGAATTGGACATCAACGGTAAGCCTTCCAACGTGCGCCTGGCCATCGCTGACGCTGTCCTGGACCTGGTATACGCCATGCTGGGTGCTGACTCTGACAACACCAAAGCCTACACCTCCATTGTCAATGTGCGTTCAGTTCTTGTTTATTTTATTGTACTCGTAATGACCAAAGATGCCCTATCCTCTGTAAACGCTATTAACTATTGTGCTGATTGAGTAATAACAGGCTCCTTTCTTAAGAACTGGATGTATCAAAAAACTTTTTTTGTCATAAAAATGCTGTTGGTTCCCATTTTGCACGATATATTAGCATCGTGAAATTTTGGTACTTTAGTAGTTTCCGTCGTAACTTTAATCATTCAATGCTTTATTGAGTGAGGTCACGATAAATCTTCCTAAGCACACAACCTATAACAAGTACAAGAATCGACGTCAGGACTAACCAGTCCTATCCTTCAATGCTGAAGATACTATATTATACTATACTATAACTAGGCCGAAAATTCACAAGCGCAAAAATGTGCGGTGTTGCAGATCCTGTGGAGTGTAGCGTTGCTGCACTCGCTCAAGCGGGTAGACTTTGAGTCGCGATGGCGCAACCTGAGCCAAGTGCAGCGCATGCTACGCAACAACCTCGTGGGTCCTGAACAACATTGGCATAGGATGCGTCATGTCATAGTGCAACGTGCGCACCTTCAGCACCTCTCACGCACCCTCGAGTTTATTGAGACGTTGCCCTTCACTAACACTCACAAGAGGATCATGGATGCCGGCCTCAAGCTCTCAACCAGCAATTACAGTCAAGTGAGACCAAGCAGGCTTGTTTTTCTCATGTTCGTTCATATGTAATTATTTTAACACATGTTCCTCATTCCAAATCATTTACAAAAAGAAATGTTTAATTTTGTACGTCTTGAGTGTGCATATTAAATTTGCCCTCCATAATTTTTGCCTTAGATTGATCAAGGTCAGCAAACTAATCTTTGTATTTATACGCGAGTACCTATATCTAGTTATACCTGCCTGTTCCTGGTGCATAAATTTCACCAGATTAAAATGATAAATATTGTCATACGCGTTTGGTTTATATTCAATCATTTACCATGTGAACCGAAAGGACTATTCCCCTTAAATACAATGACAGGTTACACGATTAATATACTGTTATAATATATATCATGATTAATATACATGTATATCATGATTGATATACCTATTAATATATTCCTCTCACTTGTCTCACCAGGTTCGTAAAGGGGGTCAGCAGCTGCTACGGAATTTCTTCGCCCAGTTCCCCAGTAGCTGTGAGCTGCTGGTGCCACAGCTGGTACAAAACCTCGCCTTGGATCCCAAGCAGCACCACAAAACCTTTAAAGGTCTTCATATTGCAGATTATTTTATTTCAACGCCGTTGTTTATTCAATTTATTAATAATTATTTTGTGCATTCAGTGAAATTGAAATTGCTTTATTTAAATTTAACTCGGCTTAAATTTAAGATGAATTTTAAAAATGGCTTTATTATTGTTTGATTTGTAGTACGTAGTAGAATTTTTAGTTGAATTGTTTGAAATTCAGTGACTTTACAAATTGTAGTGTAAATTTCAATAAAATGTGTGATCATGCCCAAGCATGGAATAAAGCTTGAAGTATTATGTATCATTACAAATTGGCTATTTTTAGCAAAATTTGGTTCTAATATGAGAATTTTATCTAAGCTATTGTGAGCAGGATTTTGTTTTACCACAAGCTCATTGTTCAGGCACGTTATTTGTGTTGCTGGGAGCGAAGTGTAAAGGCTTGGTGGTGAAGCAGAACTGGGATTCGATGCTGGCCTTGTGGCCCGCGATCCTGGCTGCCCAGCACTCGGAGAAGCCTTCCATCTCCAGCCTCCTCTCACAGCTACTCGACAATCTCCTCACCGGCTTTGAACTTGTCTACCTTGAACAGCAGGTCTCGTTAGCCTTGTCTGCCTTGAACAACAAATTTAGTTTGTCTTACATGCTTTGAACAACAGGTCTCTTTAGCCTTGTCTACCTTGAACAACAGGTTTAGTTTGCCTCTCATGCCTTGAACAGCAGGTGTCGTTAGATTTGTCAGCTGTGAACAGAATGGCTCATTAGATTTGTCAGCTGTGAACGGAAAGGCTCATTAGATTTGTCAGCTGGGAATAGAATGGCTCATTAGATTTGTCAGCTGTGAACAGAATGGCATATTAGATTTGTCAGCTGTGAACAGAATGGCAGATTGGATTTGTCAGCTGTGAACAGAATGGCTCATTAGATTTGTCAGCTGTGAGAAACAGTCTAGTTCACTTCTCATCGCTTTGATCATTTTGTTCAAATTTCAAAATATTAAAAAAAAAGCTCTTATATATCTAAACTTCTACCTCAAAATAATCTCATATATATCTAAGACGGATTATACAGTTAATCATCGGCCTTATTAAAGTTAAATGAAGATAGTAATGAAAAGCTAAAAATGTTAGCTGATTTTGTCAAGTTTTACATGTACTGTCGCCTTCGCCAGGTCCCCGAGTCAGTGGTAAAATTGTGCCAGAAGATCGCACGGCAAGTTGGCTTTAAAAGGGATGTTAGTGAAGTCGAGTCAAGCAAGCAGTTCGTTGAAAAAAACAAGCACCAGCAGGTGGACACCTACAACAAACTGGTGGAGAACATTGCTCAGCAGTTTCAGAGCGGCAAACTGTAAGACTTTCATCCTTGCATCATTTCATTATTTCAAGTATGAACACTTTAAGTTAAGGAAGCTTAGTGGAGAAAGATGAACTAAATAAATTTCAGCATTGCTTCAACTTGTTCAATCATCACTAATTTCAACTAAGCACTAGCTTATTCGAAGTCACTGCTATTTTCATAAACTTCTTATTCTCTAACGACAGGATTTTTAATAGGTTGACCGCTTGTGACGTGCCTTGCCTTGTAGTAGTCTCCTTGGATATGTTGCCACAAGCCCGTTGAAAAAAAAGGTAATTAACCTCGCGCTTTGGTAATACTCGCAATATTTAACAGCACTCAAATATGTTACAGGCATTGGCGCCACGAGCAGTTGGCTGTATCCATGCTGGGTATACTCGTTCGCCCAGACCTTCCCTACCCGGCAGCGGCAGTGCGCAGTGTCACCCACGCACTCCTGCACCACAACATCCACGTCAGGAAGGTAATATACTTTTTCCGTCGTGGCATAATCTCGATATTTGGATCCTCGTTTGAGTGAATTTATTTACTGGCCCTGTAAGTAATGAGCGCGGGGGTGTTCTAGATAACCGTTCTTGTTGATTGTGTTTCTAGATAATCTGTTCCTGATGATTCTGTTGCTAGATCACCTGTCTCTGTTGATTGTGTTGCTAGGTCAACTGTTCCTGTTGATTGTTTCCAGATCAACTATTACTGTTGATTGTGTTGCTAGATAAACTGTTCCTGTTGATTGTGTTGCTAGATCAACTGTTCCTGTTGATTGTGTTGCTAGATCAACTGTTCCTGTTGATTGTGTTGCTTTGTCAACTGTTCCTGTTGATTATGTTTCTAGATTAACTGTTCCTGTTGATTGTTTCTAGATCAACTATTACTGTTGATTGTGTTTCTAAATCAACCTTTCCTGTTGATTGTGTTTCTATATCAACTGTTCCTGTTGATTATGTTTCTAGATTAACTGTTCCTGTTGATTGTTTCTAGATCAACTATTACTGTTGATTGTGTTTCTAAATCAACCTTTCCTGTTGATTGTGTTTCTATATCAACCGTTCCTGTTGATTGTGTGTCTAGATCAACTGTTTCTGTTGATTGTGTTTTTACATCAACTATTCCTGTTGATTGTGTTTCTTTGTCAAATGTTCCTGTTTATTGTATATCTAGATAAACTATTCCTATTGATTGTGTCGTGAATCCATTAAATTTATGCCACGAACTCATTCAATCGGAATAATCAAAAATATATTGTGGTTAACAGTAAATTGTGAATTAGGACGATATTTTAGTTATTTGTGTAATGATTTATTCGGTGTAAGCAATTGACGGATTTGTTGTTTCTCTGTACTCCGAGACTGCACCAGTTATACCATATTTTTCTCAGATGGCCGTTTTATACCTGCCAAACGTTCTGCGAAACTTGAAACGCGCTCATAAAAAGGAGCTGCTCTGCCTACCGCCAGACGCTCAGGATAACAAGTCCCTTCCTGTGCTTCAAAAGTTTGCTCCGAGCGTCAACAGGGACGACAACAAGTTAGTGTTGCTCTGACATGCCTCACTGCAGCCTTGCTGGGATGTTCCCTTCTGGGCTGCATTGACTTGAGGAGTTTACTTTCTTGTGAAAGTGCATCTCACACATCTCCCCTACTAGTACTACTACTATTTGCATCTCATACCTGAACTCGAAACTTAATATTCTCACTTTATGCTGTTACTGTTAGAACATCAAATATTCTTTGGACACGTAATTTTACTCTGAGACCAGGCTTAGGCTAAAAAATTGTCGTATATAAATCAAATTTGTGATGATTGAACCTTGCTTGCGCTTGTAATGTAAATTTTACCTTAGCCTGCAAAGCGAATTCGAAGTTCGAAACTTCGAAGTGCTTAGTTCAAATTTAAAAACTTTAAAGGTCTCCTACCCTAATATTACCCTAAGTATTAAATATTAATTATACTCTGCATTTGAACCAAATAATCTACTTTGAACGAACTGTGATGATTGTTACACTATGATGACTTGGCTGCAGGTTTCTACAGTACGACGCAAAGTTCAGTGACATGACGGAGGAAGAATACAACTCGCGGCAGTTCGTACATCCCACCTACTTGGGCTTCACCTGCTGGCCTCGGTACGTCTAGGCTTCATGGTGCTCTTGCGTTAATTCTTGTATTTTATACTGGTTCTAGTTGTATCCTCGAAAATGTGGTCTTGATCCTTCGCTCGTGTATCCCCTAAAGCCGGTTGTTTTTGTTTTGTTGTATTTATAAAACTTATCATTTTTTACAAAATATATTTATATATATATTTTTTATCCTGTTTAAAGTTTAAAATGTTGAGACAAATCCAATACTGTGCTTGTTTTGCAGTAGATTATCACAGTAATTTTGTAATCAAATACTTATTTTTGTTTGCAGAGAAGTGTACGTGTACAGTCCAGCTACCCAGCAACCGCCGTTGGATCGCCCTACAGAAGAACTAAGTCCAGCTGAGCTGGAAATTTACCTCTTCTTCTCTGACGAACAAAAGATCCAGAAGCTGATTGATCTTTTCACCCTTGAGGAGCAGAGAAACATTGTTGAAAGATTCGATCAGAGAAAGATGATGATATGGAAGGTCTGCAGATTACATCGCGATCTGTGCACTTGATTATAATTACGATGTTAACTAATTTATACTATTCCTTCTGCATGTTTGAATATTCTCTCATTCATTATCTTTTATATCTTGAATCTTAGATCTCGCTTATCTTGCCTCAAGTTCTAGGCTGAGAGGCTGAGAAGTCTCTAAAACTGCAATGCCTGTATAACTAATGCGTTTGTAACTAGTGTATTGTCATACATTGAGACCGTCTCTATTCGGCATATCGATGTAACTAGAAATTGACTTTCATTCGTCACAAGAAACATAAATATTTTCTATTTAATAATAAATTTTTGTTTTGAGGTGGCTCCTCTTCCCATTCATCTCCAAGGAGCGCTCATTTTAATGCTTAGAGCCGTAGTACCAAACATTTATAAGTTCGTAACTCCAGTCATCCAATCACCGAGGGCTTTTCAAGCTAAACCCACCAATCTAGCAAGTTCTTTTAATACGGCCCCAGGTTGTTCATCGTGCCTCTAATAAGTATTTTGTTCCAGGGTGTGTTCAGAAACTATGGCCCATGCCTGCTGCCGTTGATACGCGGCCATCTTCTGAGACTGGCCGATGACACCGCTGAAGCGAGTCAGCGATGCGCCTCCGAGATCCTTGCTGGTCGGTGAACCTCGGAATCAGTCTTTAGTAATAAGGTCACATCAAATGCCTGTATGATTTCACTGACGCAATGTTGGCTTATTGCATGACCATGTTTTGATAGTGAATTATGCGTGTTGTGACCGAAATGTTTTCCTACAGGTTTGGTGCGCGCTACAAAACATTGGCCGTACGCTGCTTGGAAGGACGTTATGTCTCTAGCCACTGAGACGCTGACTCTTGCCTTCTCCAAGATGTCATCAGATGCCACTGACAACTGGTACAGGGCAATGACTAAGATCAGCATGGACAGAGATGCCAACCTATTTGCACCTCTCGTCGAGTTCCTGGTCAACATTCCAGACATTGTCTCTTCCTCATCGTTCAGTGTGCAGTGGTTAGTTTTTGTTTTGGGAATTTGATTACTGATCAAACAAATTCCTTTTTATATGCTGCCATCTGGAATGATTTTTATACGACAACTCGTATAACCTACCATGTAATTTTTTTCTACTAGCAATTTTTTGGATAAAATATATTTAATGGTCAACGCAGAACTTGTATGCAAACTATTATATGCACTTTTGTGGCCTAAGCTGCTAATTAGCATTGGGTCACTATGAGAATAATCCTTTGACTGGCAAAACTGACGAAACTGATAGAGCGCGCCTTGATACATTCTGATAGTGCCTAGTTTAATTCAACATCCCTACTGAAATTTGCAGTACCCCACGTTCCATATATAATATTCCTTTGTGTTCAGTCGGCTGTTCGTGTGCTCGTCGATGTTGAGCCAGCAAGAGTGGAGAATCTTGAATCTGCAGCCGCGACTACTGCAGCAGCTGCGACCTGCTCTCTCACATCCCTACAAGGCAGTCCGGGATCGTGTCAGCACGTGAGTGCTCCATGTTATACAACACGCAATTTATTGAATGCTTTGCGTATTACTTCTCTTAGGTTATTAATTTCTCTAATAATATTTATTATTTTGGTTCTCAAAGAGACGAGTGTGTAACTAATGGATGCATGAGGCGCTGTCGGATCCTAGGCATCTCGAGTTTATCTTCACCACTTCGTCATCTTGGATGTCTAAATGAATCTGATGATACAATTCACTCGCTTGACAATTTTTTTTTCTAATACTCGCGTTTTTCATGAATTATTATCTCCAAAGAGCTGCTCTTAATGTGTTAATGTATCCGTTATGTAATGTCACACGAGTAAGATACATAACACATAGCCTGCTATCCACAGGGTTCTATACAACGTCTTCTTTCTGAGTACGGCGGATGTTTTCTACTCCGAGTCTCGGGGCTTCTCACTGCAAGTTCCAGAATCTTTAAACCTAAACAGTTTTGTAGAAGACGTCCTGACTCAGCTTGGTAGCTTGCAAGAATACTCGGGAGGAAATAGCAGCGGTGAAGGCTTGTCACTCGTGATGGGTTCTGAGCCCAGGGATGGCACTTCTCCTCAGGACTCCTTACTTCAGCACCTGGTGCCAGCCGAGGTCTTAGTAGGCGCTTCGACCTCTCAACATGGAAGGTAATTATTTGGATCTTTATACTCATAGAGGATGAATAGATATTGAAAGAGACATTTCCTTTGTTTCTTTGATGCTCTTCATTTCACATACCAGCGTTGTCCACATTGGGAAAAATATCTTTTACTCGAAGCTTTATTCTTTGGGACTGAATCAATTAATGCTTGACTTATTGTGGAGTTTCCCTCAAGGTTTCAAATTCACACTCTCTGAAGCGAAAACTTTACTACTTACGATAAAAATTCATTGGAGAATGTTTCACGTTACCTACGGTCCAATTGAGAAGTAATTACAGACTATATTTCCTTTAACTAATCATTTGTACTGTGGCAGTGACGCGAGGATAGGCGCTACGACAGAGGATTATCCAGCGTGCGAAGATGCCTCTATCGACGTTCCGCGAGACACGTCGAGTTATACCGCAGGAGAGACGACCGCTGAGAGCTCGTCCCTCATCCCTCCGATCGTGACGTCGTCACCGCAGCTTGTTAGCTCTTCCTTTAATATCTGTGGGGGTGATAACGATGAGCGCAAGAACGCCTTCAGGATCATTAACACCATGTGCTCGTTCGTGCAAATTATGAGCACTCGCTACTACTCCGCAACGCCACTTCCTCTTTACAAGTGAGATACTAGTCTCACTTCAGTCAATTTGAAACTTCGTCGTTTTTAATTAACTAACTAATTAATAATTTAAAGATGCGCTTCAGCATGACCATTGTCCGTACTATCAAAACTCGCCTAATTACACGTATAGCAGCCAATTTTTTTGTCTGTGATTTTGGGGTTTATTTTGAAAAGCCATCAGTAATTGTCTGATTATATTCTATAGTACGGCCCAAGAAGAATAAGACGATTGTGTTACTATTACGTATTATAACTCAAAATAACATATTGTGTGGATAAACTTTTTGAGCAGATTCCTAGGCGCTTTGTGTCAACTAGAGAGCGTTGACAGTGAACAAGAAGTGTGCAGCAACTGTGTTTCTGCGCTCTGCACGATGGGACAGTCTCTTCTGCAGCAGCAGCATCTTTTACCTCTCATTCAGCGTCTACAGGAAATAACCGAGTACAGGTAAGCGTAACTTGACCATTCCTGGAACCTTTATTCTGCATTAGTATCGTGAGAACGATTATCAGAACTTTAATGCGCGGCGTGCTTCTAAGCTTCAAATAGTGATGCTATAGCAACACGCAGATTGTGGGTGCCTATAGTGATGCAGTTGTAGAATGTTCTTAATATCCTGATGGTGATGCAAGTTTAACATGCAGATGGTGGCGTGCCCGAAGTGCTGCCCTGGGAGTGCTTCAAATGGTAGTGTTCCACAACGCCCTCACCATGATGGCTTGTGACGGTGCGCCGCAGCTGGTGCTGAAGGTGGTGCTTGCTCGTATCAAAGATGAACGGCTTGAGGTGCGCAACATGGCTTCCCAAGTTCTCTCCAGTGCGCTGCACATCAATTTTGTGCCCAACTCCACTGAGATCAGGGTAAGTTTTGTTATCTTGTTGCATCCAGCTTTGTCTGGTGATGGTCCCTAAATGCCGATTACTTCCAATCAACTTGAGCTTTACTGTTATGCCACTCGTGTACGGCTGATATTCGATCTGCTTCAGTACTGCCTTAAAAGGAGATTCTATCTAGTGTGCATTCCCTGGAATTCCCCAGTGAAATGTATTATGCTTTCTGACTAGCACAATTTTGTCTAATGACCCGACGTAATAAATATTTGCTAATGAGCCCAATCTCCTCTGATTACTCAAGAAACTATTGTTGTTACCAGCCCTAGTTTTTCTGGTAACCCAGCACCATTTTTATGAAATTAGGAGAAGTTCACGCGGGAGTTGCGCAAGGCTACGCGCAAGTCCACCAAGATCTGGAGCAGCGAGCGCGTGGTGGAGGTGCACGGAGCGGTGCTGGGGTTGGCGGCTTTCGTCGAGAGTGCGCCCTACAGCGTGCCCGACTTCCTGCCTCAGGTCCTCTGTACCCTCGCCTCCTGCATCAACCTTCCTCAGCCTATTGCTGTGAGTTCTGCTACAGCCAATTTAACTCAGCTAGCTTCCCCTTATTTGTTCAATTCGTTTTTATCATGAGTTCTACGTCAATAATCCCACACCATTTCGCCCTGGTGGCGACGGCTTGCGTGTTTCCATGATACGCGAGGCAATGAGATCTCAGATTCAGTTATGTCCTTTTGTCTCTGGCGTCGACTCCTGACAAGCTACGACGTTATACCCGTCGTTTCGGTGGCCACTGGCACTCGTTTGAGACGCGGTCACCTTACGTCGCTCAGACGAACTCTTACGTGAACTTAGGCCTGGTCAGACGGTTTTGATAATCATAAATGAGCTGGGTTTAGCGACGGACTCGATACCTTTATCTAATTCACTACTGCATTTTCAAGCTCAAAATGTATATAACACCCATATCTCCCATGTTATTGTCGTTCGATTGTGCATCGCACGCATCATTTATATCAAATTTGAAGGCATTTCTGCTTAGCCGAAAATTTTTAATGTGAAACTATGGCTGTGAGACGAGTAATGCACGATGGAGGAACACAAATACTCTACTTTAAATTAACGCGTACGTCGATTTTAGTTTCGAGGCAGCTATGTATTGATTAATTATCAAGGCCCTGGTGATAAAAGTGTTTGTTTTCATGCACGATTGATCCGACAGGGAAGCATTCGGAACAGCCTGAGTAACTTCAGACGCACACACCACGACAACTGGGAGGAACACAAACAGCACTTCTCATCAGAACAATTGGACGTTCTGAACGACCTGCTGCTGTCGCCTTCATATTACGCCTGAAGTATCACTCGTAATTAACGGCCATTATGCACCCACGTCTTACGTGCTGCAGCTGTCGTCTCCTGTTCGGTGTTCCTGTGCTGGTCATTTCTGCCTGGTCTTACCTATTGTACAGGAATTGTTACTGAGGCTCGCCGTGAAGGGGCCTCAAACGTGATCACGTAAGGTTTGTGACGCAAAACTAGGAATTAAATCAATAACCCAGTAAATATTTCCAATTTACATTGTTATCTTCGATCGTCTGAAAGATCGTAGAATTATTCACTGTAACGGTTATTTACGTAACATGGTCGCATGTTTGACGGCCTAAGCCCTTCTTGTGTTAACCTCTGATAATCTATAGCCAACGATGATGCCTTTTTGTTGATGACCATTTTTTTCAGGCAATGAGCAGATTTGTGAAGAAGTTGAAGGCCGTGTTCTTAGTTTGCTTATACCGTTTCTATGAACCGTTATACTAATTATTCTTGGTGTGCTATTGATTATTTTCTACATTGTTTTCACAATGGATAATTTTAGGGGCTAAATATAATACCTGGTATTACTAGATAATCATAGCACTATATTCTGTGGACTTGACTGGCCTAAGAAGTCTTTGTAATGCTTGTCTCACGTTTAGCTTCTTTGTGACAAACTTGCTTGTTCTCTTTTTTTACTCGTTGAGATAAGTTATTTCACTTTTCTGAACTGCTATTGATTATAGCTTCCTATTGTTTTATCGGGATATTTCTAATCTTGATTTCAGCTCTGAATGTCTGATTTAGATATTATGTTCAAAGGAATAAAATGAGAATTGACATGTGTTCTCAGTGATCCAGGGTTGTGCGCGACACGTCAAAATGAGAGCTGCTTACTTACGAAATGTAACACTGCATCAGGATATACTTGCTCTTTCGGTTGAAAGTAACAAACACGATTCGCAAAATTAAAAAAAAATTCATTACAGTTCGTATTTCTAGTCAATGAACAGCAAATCTAGAAATTTCGGGCAATTAAAATATCTCTTTAATTAACCAGAAAAATATGTATGAATATTCCAAGTTTAATCCGAAAAAACATCCTGATAATTTTTGTCTTCGATGATTGAAACCAAATGATTGATGGAAGCTCAGATTTCCCAACACGTTGGAATGAGCGTGCCGTTTTACCTTGATGTCATCCTAAGGATGTCATTGCGTGGCATTCTTATTGGGAAAGGCAGCCCCCTAGGCTGACAGGCTTGAACGCCGCAAACTTTCTTTGGATAATAATGAGCACTGACGAGGCCTAAGGAATATAATCAACGTATCAGTTCATTGCACGCAATAAATCGGGACAGCAGCACAAGGGTGCATAAAAATAACTTGCAATATCAAAGAGACGATAACGCTTGCTTAATATCTTGATTGTTGGCTATACTAAATCTTGCAGTGAAAAAGCTATGTAGTAATTCAAAACCTTGACAATTCTCTAAAAAATTAGAATACATAACGAAACAAACTGAAATTTGCTCGCTGTTGACGCATCTGAATGAAAACAATGCCAGCGGCAAAAGAAAGTCCGTTCATGGCCGTGTGTAAATTTCTATTCAAACCATTGTAACCAAGATAACAAAACTAACTAGAGTATTTAAATTGCTAGTACCCAAGCGCATGCAGCTACAGTTGAACTAAAGGAAACTAAATTCTTACAACAAGAAAAGCAATTGTTAAATAAGTCGACCTACCAAGCAGGCAGGTGTTCCAAATACAGTGGATTTACACGAATCCGGAACTTTGAAGAGAAGGAAATAAATTTAAATGCTTGAAGACATAAATCAACTTGTCGTCATCCAATTCCACTAGCAAACAAGGAACAAAAGATATCACCAACTTGTTTAGATGCCATGAGCAAATAACTAGTGTAAGGCCTGTGGCGTTGAAATAACGTCGATTAAACGCTTTTTCAACGTCATTGGCCAAAAGGGAGAGGAGTACATGTCCAGTTAAAATTGGTAATCTAGGTGTGATGTCAACAACCTTGAAGATGCTATGAGGCATGAAAAAATAATTTTCTACTGCGAGATATATGATCGTACAAAGCACGCGCTAAGGAAACAAAACGAAAGCTTTAATTAATGTAAAGGAATAATTCCAACACTTAAAACACGAAACTTCAATTGATTATTCGCATTAGTTACGAAGCCCCAACTAATCCTGTTTACGTAACCGATTAAATATATCAAAGGACTGCTGCTCGCGTCTAGAGGAAGGGACGGTCTAGGAGTTTCCCGTTTAGAAGCCACAACACTTAGCCACTAACTATATACAGGAGCACAAAATAATTTAATATGAATAATCTAGAAGCTTCTCTTGATGATCTGTATAAGGCGCGCGGAAGGAAGTGTGGGACGCGTAATCATTATTATGTAGTTATGAAAGCCTACAATCAAATAGAGAACATCTAATTATTAAAGGTTTATAAGAAATTCTACGTTCTATAAGAAAGGCAGCATTACGAGCGTGTAGAACCTAGGCTCCGGACATACTTTGTCAGGCATGTTTCTCTCACGCATCACCGTCTACAAAACACATATTTAAAAATTCGCTCAAGGCTTAACTTTTGCATCGATTTCACATAAAACAGTTCTGAATCTGAGCCACAAAGGAAGTTAACTAATAACTTTATAAAAAATTATATCCTAACCATCATAGCGTCGTTCAAAAAAAAAAATTAAAAAAAAAGTTTTGCCCAATTTTCTAACACGCACATGTGTTTTTTTGCACGATTCTCTAGCACGCACATGTGTTTTGCTTGCCAATTCACGACTTTAATAATCACAAGGACGATTTCTACGCTCTGGGATTTCTCACTGGAAGCGTTTCCGTACAAGTTAATAAATCTCTACTTCACAATGGACTGCAGGACGCGCGGAAGCGCTCATGGCTATCTACATATATTCTGCCTACGGCCTATGCTACACTTAGGAAAATGACAGGTCACATTGTCCAATTAGTGAAACACTCTCTCACCCACAACACGTGCGGAGATAACGTAGCGTTGATACGCCCTTCAGCTGGGTTAGCATGCCCCACAAAGGGCCAAGGACAATGTCTCGGTCATTTCTCTCAGTGAAGTTTTATCCAACGCAGCGTTTTCTCTTATCAACACTCGGATCCTGACTGCACTAAACAATACAATACACTTAAGAATTTCTATCAATTAAATTTAAGGCTGCAAGTTAAGTTCCGGAAGTTAAGTTAAAATCACAAGTATCAATACTAGTGTTATAAGGACATCCTATTCGTTTTTTTAATGAAAACTAAGCTTATTATGCGTACTGAGAGTCCGGTTTGCTTTTAAAGATTTTAAATATTTTGTCTATATATGTCCGCTTTCTTCACATACTATATCAGAAATGAGCCGAAAATTCTGAAAAGCCTACTTTTACCAGATTATATATTTTATTACATAGATATCTTAATTAGATATTATTAGAAATACATTTTACCGAACCACATAATAAAACAACGGAATTAATAAATGATGCTGAGATTAAGCTTAATAGTACTTCAATTTTGTACGCAAATGAATAAGCTAGTAATAAATTTGTTATAAATTTGATGATTGGAGTTAAGACTAAATTGAACGAAATTATGAAGTAATGTTTAAGCTAATGGATTTAAACGTCCATAAAAATACTGGCCACAAATGCGCCTGTTTAAATGCATGCTGTGAATAAGGGATTGAATTTGAATGAATTATAATCGTAAAACCTGAATAAATCTGAATACCAACTTGAATTATGCGAATTTGACTTAGACAAGCTGTTAATTATCAACATTGTTTTCAACGTAACCAACATATAACAGAGATAGAAAAAATCACTGATGAACACCCAACTCCTGAATATGCAGAGAGGAAAAATGCTAGTATTTCATACAAATAATTCAAATGTATATCGTTCCTATGTGAAGATATTTCGCTATAATTGTTTTCGTTTCCTATGTTGCAAGATACACAGAAATCTCTTTACAAAATTGAACGCTAAATTGGATTACACATAAATTGGGTACAATAGAAACAACCTTGACGTTTGAAATTGTCGCTAGAATGCGACGGTCAGCACAACGTTGCCTGTGGCAGTGATGGTAGTGATGGTAGAGGCGGTGTCGGCAGGCCGCGATGTGGAAAATGTATTTGCGATACATATGAGCTAGGTACGACAACACGGGTTGGTTACAAGAACTAGAATTTAGAATTATCTTGAAACAATTTCGTCGTGTCAAGTTGATATGGAGTTGAAATTCTTCAATGTTCACAATGGAGCTACGAGTCGAAAGCAGTTTCGGCTGGTCACACGCTAGGACCATTCGAACTTTTACGTCTACAGAAGAGGCAGCAATAAAAGAATTAAAATTGTAACCGACAAAGGGACGTTTAGGGTATAAATTTTTCCCAAATTAAATAATTTTGATGAAATACCAGAAAATATATTCAAACCCACGCAAAATCTCAATCCATTGGACAATATTTCTCACCCTTCCAAGCCAGGAATGTTACCCCAAACAAAAATAAAATTTTAGAATTAACTGTAATGATTAAATTTTTCTACAATGCTAAAATTGTAGAATTAACGGTAATGATTAAATTTTTCTGGCCCCAATAAATAAATTAAAAAGTTAAGATCACAAGCTGCATCCATGGCTTATCAAAGAAAGCTCTCACATCCTCAGGATTACACACGACATCACGCGACCAATTATCGACAACGCTCACATCCACCGAGAACACGTTAATAGAATTATACTCACGAATTTGTTGATAAAACCAACATTGATGAGTCAAACTAAAATGCGATTAAAAATACTAGTTATAAGAATATGTGCTACACAAGAAAATTAATAGACGGAGAACATATGTAATTGAGGTCAAGGACTTACAGTAATCAAGTTCAGTTGACTTCGATTAAACTGACGTCTTGGGAAGTCAAGTTCAGTTTTTCAATCATGTTCTCTGGATCAATAAAGAGTTATGAATTAATTATGAAAATGCACTTCTATTACTTGAACGGATTGTATGGTTATTTATTTATGCTGGCATTTCAATATGTTATTCATTTATTAATTCTGGCATTTCAGTCGAGTTTCGTATACGCCGTCTCGTTGTTTAGTTGGACGCTGTCGTTTCAGAAAATCATTATCATAAAAACCGAAGTTAGTTGCATCGAAAATTTGCTCTGAATTATTTTCTTGGAAGATATATAGACATGTAAATAGTATTAGAAGAGCAGGCAGCGTCTCTTGAGATCATTCCGCTGCCAAGCCGGCATCCTGTAGAAGTCCATCCGAGTCATGCGGAACACCATCTCGAAGTCCTGATCTGATAAATGCCGCTGAAACAAACAAAACATCAATTAATTTCTTATACACTTGAAATTCGCATAGGAAAGTAATTAAAAAAATTAAAAACTGAAATGAATTATCCACATGAGGTAACACAATTTACGAGTATTGAAAGCAATAATGAAAAAGAAAACCAATAATAAAAAATTTCCCTTATTTCAATGTAAATGCGCTACTTTATGTATTCCAAGAACAGAAATCAGTGCGTACTTTTGCCCTGAGCAACACAATATGGTCAATTCGGTGGAACTTGCACGAAGGCCCTATCAGAAGGCATGGGAATGAGAGCGTATCAGAGGGCAGGGCCATCAGAGGGCACGGGAATGAGAGGGTATCAGAGAGCAGGGCTATCGGAGGGCAGGGCTATCAGAGGGCAGGGCTATCAGAGGGCAGGGCTATCAGAGGGCAGGGCTATCAGAGGGCAGGGCTATCAGAGGGCAGGGCTATCTAGGGCTATCAGAGGGCAGAGCTATCAGAGGGCAGGGCTATCAGAGGGCAGGGCCATCAGAGAGTATCAGAGGGCAGGGCAATAAGAGGGCATCAGAGGGTTCTCTCACCTCGAGGTGGCAGCGGTCGACGTCATGAGGGAGTCTATAGTTCGTGATGAAGAGGAGATGCGCGGGATATATTTTAGGAGGCTGGTCGCTGTTGTGGATGTGGTGAGGGTGATGAGGGTGCTGTGGGTGTAACATGTTGGGGAGCGAGCGTCGCAGGTGAGGGGAGTAGCGTGATGATGAGTAGCCCCGTAGGCCGCTACTGTAGGTAGCTGAGGGGCACAGGTCCCCCCCGCCCCCCGTCTGAAGGGGAAACGCACATAAAGCAATGCTGATTTTTATTTATTTATTTGTATTTTCCCTTAAAATCAAACAATGCAGCCTTTTTATCTTTTTTTATTTTTGCAAAGCACATGAAACAACGAGTTTTTTTAATTTTTGTTTTGGATTTTCACTGGATAGTTTCTCTTAAAATAACTTTTTGGTTTGAATTCTCGTTAATTTCCTTCGTAAAATTTCCATAGAAAATTTAAGCTCAAAATTTGACTATTCAGTGTTCAGTTCAAAATTTAGAATCATCAGTCTTTCTCAGAAGGTTCAAGAAGATGACATTTTATTAATGATTAAATCAAGCAGATATATTTAATGTATTTATTTATTCATCAGTTATGCATAAAAGAGCGGTAATATTTGCACTGGAGCCATGCGGAAACTGATAGAAATAAACTTTTTTAGGAGATGGATATTAAAATATCCGAGGTTGCAAAAGTTTTCAATAATTCGCTTTCAATTGTCTGGCTGCGAGAGGCAAGCCGCTATTAAAAAGTTCGAAAATTTCACAGTGGCCTCTTTTCGTTAAATTCTTCGCTGGCGATGCAATGCATGGACTTTTACACAACTGTTCACGTACGTATGACTAAATTAACTCTTGATTATGGTAAACAAAGTCGCTGTTAAATCAGAGCAGGCAAAATAACATAGCATAACAACATGAACATACATATCCCATCGATAGAAACCAATAAATTTAATGAAGCATATAAAGTAAGCAGTACCGTACCGTGAAAGTAAGCAGTACCGTGAAAGTAAGCAGTGTCGTGAAAGTAAGCAGTACCGTGAAAGTAAGCAGTACCGTGAAAGTAAGCAGTACCGTGAAAGTAAGCAGTGCCGTGAAAGTAAGCAGTGCCGTGAAAGTAAGCTGTGCCGTGAAAGTAAGCAGTGCCGTGAACACGACGCTTCAGACAATCAATGACAAGTGGCAAGTTGAACAATCTAACGTCACATGGCATTCTTTCTATTTCATGTAAAATACATATACATAAATGGATACACTTGAAACATTATGTGGTTTCAAGAACCTCGAATACGAACGTATGACTTGTTCGTAACTGCGGGTTCAAAATGCCACTTGACGATCATAAGAAAACCTTAAAGCATCAAGTTATCTAATAAAAAACCTCGCTCAATTTTTAACGTAAAAAACTTCCGTAAAAAAAGTGGCAGTGAGCAGCACTGACTACAATCAAAGAAGGTGACGGGAGTTCGGGCAAGGAACGTTTGACGTGAACTCGCGCTATTTAACACAGGAAATAAATCTATTACAGTTACCCAGTTACTCGGTACGCTACTCATGCAGCTGCATTATAATTTGTAAGGAAAGACGTACACAATTCACAATAATTTGAATATCGGTGAATGATTTTGAAGGCAATTAGAAAGTATTTATGAAAAATCATAAGTACATATGCTAATGAAAGTTTAACATCAAGTCAAGATTACGCTTCCTTAACATGAGTAACATTGACTAAAAGATAATGATAAAATTTACCTCAACAGAAGATAGAAAGTTCAGCCGAATTTACTGCATGGAAACAATATATTGGATACTCTCGAGTAACAAACTTATTTCTTTCGAAAGGATTTAGAACTCCTAATTCTACTTTTTTAAATATAGTGGAAAATACAAACTTCCTGACATGATGGCTCAAAGTGAGCACAATTAAAAGCATTTAATTCAATTTGGAAAACCATAATTGGAAAACGGAGTCCAAGAGCTGGATATTAAATGCAGAATAAACCATTAATTTGGATAATTTATTCATCATTTTGCAGTGAAACAGACAAGTGGCATTCAGACAAGCAGTGAATCAATGATGTATCATTCAGATAAGTACTGAAGCAATGATGTACGAGTAAATAACATTCAGACAAGCAATGAACGAATCATGCAATATTTAGACAATCAGTGAAGCAATGATGCATTATTTAGACAAGCAGTGAACCAATGATGCATTATTTAGACAAGCAGTGAAGCAATGATGCATTATTTAGACAAGCAGTGAAGCAATGATGCATTATTTAGACAAGCAGTGAAGCAATGATGCATTATTTAGACAAGCAGTGAACCAATGATGCATTATTTAGACAAGCAGTGTTGTAATGATGCATCATTGACATCACTTGAAACTTTATCAATAATTACGTACCAAGGCAGAGCGGTCTGCGTCAGTTAGGGAGCCCGCCGACACTGTCGCGGCAAAATGTACGGTCATGTATGAAAATGTGATATTACTTACGCACATAAAGCATGAATATGGGACGTGGTGTATGATATACAGTATAATATGTGAATACATTATATGGAATAACATATGAATGCATCTAATTAAGTACGAAGATACGGCATGAATATATATGATGTATGAATTAAAATACCTACGGCACAATGTATGGATATATGATTTTACGTTATGAATTTACGGCATAATGCAGGAAAATACATTACGCAGGAATATACGGCTTAATGAATAAATAAACAGTATAATGAATCGAAAAGTCGAAATTAAGGAAGATCAAAAGAATACGGTGCTTGCGGATGACAAGCCTTACAGCAGTGCGAACTGTCAATCTCAATAGAAATATTTTCAAATATATTCTTCAGGAAATTCACTCGATTTTATCACCACACCGTTAATAAACACATTCGAAACAAACCAAGGTTTTATGCAAGCACGAACTGTATAGTTTTTGTATAGCTTTGCATGGAGCATTCACTGCACATAGTATTTGGCATTCACCTTGAATGCAGCAAATTAAAAAAAAAACTATCAGTTGTATTTTAACGATTATGAGCTAGCATTTCATGAGAAGAGCGTTCCAATGATGAAATGAGTGCATGTATATTGAATTCATTCATTCTACATTGTTTTAACTTCATTTCCATCATGAATGCAATCTGTATCCCGAGTGTAATAGAAACAATTAATGAATCAACAATTTAAAATAAAAAATCATTTAGCATCCATTAACTTTAGAGCATTCAAGAATACCTGGAATAGAATATGGAGAAATTTTTACCACATTTTGATCCCTTATAACGTTCACAAATCAGTTAATATGAGTACAACAGCTATTCCATTGTTCGTAAATGTTCTGTATAGAATAAGACTTAACTCTACCCTTGCACAAGGTTTTTCATGTTAACATTGTTCATATTATTCGTGTGTTAAAGTTTTAAATTCAACCTTTCCATGTCATGTTAGGAGTTGGCATGCGCATGTTAAATGTGTGTTGAAGTCTCATGCTTTACCCTTGGATGTGATGGTTGTTGTATATAATTTTTCGGTTAAACGTGCGTCGATTTTGTCGAAATCGCTTAAACCTAAAATCTATTATCAAATACATTCTAACACTGCATAAATATGTTTGAACATGCATGATCTATGTACGTATAGCGATTTAGCGTATTTTTGTAGCGTATAGCGAAAATTTAGTCTGTCTCATATACCATCTATCATATACCATATAACATATATCTGGTCTCAAAATAGTTGATTGAAATTCCTTAGTCTTTATACGATATATAATATTCGTGTATTACATATATCATACATATATCATATTAAATATATCACGAATATCTATCATAAATGGATCTAAAATATATCGTAACTATCGTATATTGAATTTTAAATCGTTCGTATGATGATATTTAATAGATACCAATCATTACTGACCATCAGAGCGCGCGCTGCTGAAGTCTGCGCTGTGCGTCTTGTCGCCCATGCCACCTGAGAGACTCGTAGTGTCGCCCTGCACCAGCATTATCAGTATCATTATGAACAGTAATGATAATTATTATGAACAGCAATAATAATCATTATGAGCAGTAAGGATAATTATTATGAGCAGCAGGGATAATCATTATGAGCAGCAGGGATAATCATCATGAACAGCAATGATAAGCATCATGATGATCAATAAGTGCAACAAGGATAATCATTATGAGCAGTAAAAGCATCTTTATGCTTACGTTAACAGTAATTTAAGAATAATATAGTAGGGAATAAGTAGCAAATTCTTAGCTCCATTATACGAGTCTGAGGACAAACATACTCCTGACCATGTCCTATGTATGAGCTGGGAAAGAAAGTTTTCAACACTTCAGTACGAGTTTCAGAAATAATTACGAGTTTGTAACTCCGTCATTAATTCACTAACGGCCTTTCAATCTAAACCCACCAATCACAGACGAGAAGTCGGCCGCTACGTGTACTTAGCGGCCTTTGTGTACTTAGTTTTGATAGAACGGCTACAGGTCTGTAGTGTCCCCTGCCATTACAGACTTACATGGAGCACAGAATAAGACCCCAGACCAGGTCTGTAGTGCACCCTGCCATTACAGACTTACATGGAGCGCAGAATAAGACCCCAGACCAGGTCTGTAGTGGTTGGTGCGTGGAGAAAATCCGTATCCAGGCTTGGGAGGCTGGCGCAGGGAACTCACAACTGCAACCAAACTCCCGCGCATTATTCCCAATGCATTCCACACCACCTAATTCATTTCTAAAGCATTCCTCGTCGCCTAATTAATTCCTAATTCATTCCTCGCCGCCTAATTAATTCCTAATTCATTCCTCGCCGCCTAATTAATCCGTACCCATCGTATTCGTACCATTCATATTCCCATGATTCCTCACCCCATAAACACCCAGGGCATATTCACTTCAGTAGCGTGACAGTCTGGCCTGCACAGTATAGTTACCATCAATAGCAGATTATTAACTCACGCAGCCAATAGAAAACTGAGGCTCGTTTACTGAGTCCTGTTAAATTAGTGCAGCTAGTTAACTGGGTCCAGCTAACTGGGTCCAGTTAACTGGGTCCAGCTAACTGGGTCCAGTTAACTGGGTCCAGCTAACTGGGTCCAGTTAACTGGGTCCAGCTAACTGGGTCCAGCTAACTGGGTCCAGCTAACTGGGTCCAGCTAACTGGGTCCAGNTCACTGCACTGACATTGTCACCACCATCATTGCACTGACATTGTCACCACCATCACTGCACTGACATTGTCACCACCATCACTGCACTGACATTGTCACTATCACCACTACACTGACATTGTCACCACCATCACTGCACTGACATTGTCACCACCATCACTGCACTGACATTGTCACTATCACCACTACACTGACATTGTCACCACCATCACTACACTGACATTGTCACCACCATCACTGCACTGACATTGTCACTATCACCACTACACTGACATTGTCACCATCCTAACCACGATCACCACTACACTGACATTGTCACCACCACCATCACCACTACACTGACATTGTCACCACCACTATCACCACTACACTGACATTATCACCACCACCATCACCATCACCATGACCACCACCCAGCGGTGCAAGCAATCACCCCAGCAAGCTGTTGATATCAAATAAAGTTCAGGGATGCAGAAATAAATATTAAGAACAATGCAGTTCAGAAAATATTTTATGCAAGCACAGCAAGTAAAAATTTAATTCCCATTGCCGGGTCCAGTCTAACAAATCAATCGCAGGCGAGAAAGTATATCCGAGGTGAAAAATTTCAGGAATCCAGCAGGAAAATATGAGGGAAGCAAAAATAATATGAAAGAAACCTGAAGAATATGTGCAAAGTGCAGGAAATAAATTAGGCGGTTAGGAATTTAAGCAGCGGGGGAGGAACATGGCAGCAGAGCGGGTAACGTGGGTGGAAGTAGGGAATACGTACGTGAGATGTGCACCCAAGCGAACAGCACGTTACCATGAGCTACCCCTCTAATTTGTCTTAACCAACGTTGTATTAAAGAAGGCTGATGTATCCAACGCTGTTATATCCTATGTTGTTGCATCCTATGCTCTACTATCCTATGTTGTTGCATCCTATGCTCTAGGTACATACTATCCCGTGTTATTGTATCCTATGTTGTTCTATCCTACATGGTCAAATTCTACGCTGTATTATCTTAATATTGTTATATTACACGATGTCACATCCTATGCTTTTGTATCCTACACTGTCTTATCCTATGCTGCCATATTCTACGTTGACGTATAATATACTGTTTTATCCTTTGCCGTCAATTTCAATGTTGTCATACCCATGTATCTTTCACTACCATATCACATGCCGTCATATCCTGCTCTTGTATCCTACACACTCCCCTCAATACCTGATAAAGTAAAGCAGCTTCCCATACACAGCCCGATAGGATCTGACGATTGCAGGTCCTACAAGGCTACCCAGGACGCATGTCACATTACCAAAGCCGATTCCCTTTCATCATAAATTTGTAGATGATGATATTTGTAGAAAGATTTAACATTATCCTTTGAAGTAGGCTTAGCAGAAGCTGCATTTTTCGAATCACTGTTGAAAACAGTGAATTTCAAACTGCGTGGACTTACCAGTTGAGGCGGCAGAAGTTGTTCTTTGCGATAGCATCTTGAACACATTGGAGGACTCGCAGGATACTGCACTCACATTGGAGGACTCGCAGGATACTGCACTCACATTGGGGGACTCGCAGGATACTACACTCACATTGCAGGACTCGCAGGATACTGCACTCACATTGGAGGACTCGCAGGATACTGCACTCACATTGGAGGACTTGCAGGATACTACTCACATTGGAGGACTCGCAGGATACTGCACTCACATTGGGGGACTTGCAGGATACTACTCACATTGGAGGACTTTCAGGATACTGCACTCACATTGAAGGACTCGCAGGATACTGCGCTCACATTGAAGGACTCGCAGGATACTGCGCTCACATTGCAGGACTCGCAGGATACTGCACTCACATTGGGGGACTCGCAGGATACTGCACTCACATAGCAGGACTTGCAGGATACTACTCACATTGGGGGACTCGCAGGATACTACTCACATTACAGGACTCGCAGGATACTACTCACATTGCAGGACTTGCAGTATACTGCACTCACATTGGAGGACTCGCAGGATACTGCACTCACATTGCAGGACTCGCAGGATACTGCACTCACATTGAGGGACTCGCAGGATACTGCACTCACATTGGGGAACTCGCAGGATACTGCACTCACATTGGAGGACTCGCAGGATACTGCACTCACATTGCAGGACTCGCAGGATACTGCACTCACATTGGAGGACTCGCAGGATACTACACTCACGTTGCAGGACTCGCAGGATACTGCACTCACATTGGAGGACTCGCAGGATACTACACTCACGTTGGGGGAGGCGTGGGAAGAGAGATGGTAGGAGCGGGACTGGGTGAAGTTGGGGAGCGTAGAGTACTTGTAGTTGTAGCCAGGTTTGGGGGGAGACCGGGGAGAGGGGGCTACTGCAGGGGGAGAGGGGGTGGGGTACATAGGTGAGGGCTAGGGGAATAGAGGGGAATTTAGGAGGAATACTGAGGGAAACAGAGGGAAATTTACGAGGAGTACTAAGGGGAAGCAACTCTATAGGGTCATTTTCCCAATTGCTGTTTGAAACAATGCAATAAGATTGTCTCACGATGCAAAAGTTTGAGCAATTCAAAGTTTCTGTACAAGTTATTGACGATTTTTACAAATGGCAGTTCCAGCTAAAATATACATAAAGTAATGAAAAGAAATAGGAAGAAAATTAATAGAAATGTGCCATCTACAATTAAATAACGAATTAAATACAAAGAGATGAATATGTACATTAAAATAATTAGGAAAACAATGGAGCATTCATGTATATAGATAACCAATCCAGGATGTGAAAATTTTAAAAGCAACTAAAATTACACTCGAAAAAATGTTAATATGTCAATACATAGTCTTAAATTAACTTGCAATATAATATATTTATAACCATAACTCCATTCGCATGAGCACAATTAACAAAAATATACATTATTAGTAATCACACACACACATCCAAAGGATCAAGCTATGAACAACTATACACACCAATGGGTTAGAAAAGTTCAATAATCGCGTCAGTATTGAACTGTTAAAACATTCGAAGAGAGGAACAAAGTGACCGAACAAGGAAATGGAGACTGAACGAATGTTTTAGCCATTTTAATTAAAAATTTATGAGTAAAACAACAACAACAATAAAAAAAGGTATATGGGCGAGTAGTAATGACCATTAAAGACCACTTCAGCTCCAATCAACCATGGCACTCTGCACTCGTTCTATTTATTGTGAATTTTTGTTTAATACTACAATAAATAGATAGGAAATGGATATATTTATTGTACTAAATTAACGAAAGGATGCGAGTAGATGCCAACGGAGGGGGTTGAGAACGAGTCGTTTGTTGTATATTTGATGTAATGAACTTTTTTATAACACACAAAATACATTTTAACACCAGTACCTCACATGACCTCACCAACACCTCACATGACCTCACCAACACCTCACATGACCTCACCAGCACCTCACATGACCTCACCAGTACCTCGCATGACCTCACCAGCACCTCACATGACCTCACCAGCACCTCACATGACCTCACCAGCACCTCAAAAATCCCTCACAAGGCTTAACAAAATTCTCCTGGTCTCTACAGAAAAATAATGGGATCAAAATTACTGAATGATTTCGTACACGACACAGAAGGGAAAAAGTGGAGCACGTCTGTCATATAATCATAATCTTGAAGATTAATTCAATATTAATTATCATGAAGATTAATCGGAATAATCGTAATCATAAATGTACCTATGATTGATTCGTTTATATTGGTCAACATTAAAGCATGTGAAGGCACGTGAGACCTGCAGGAGGAAGGCACGTGAGACCTGCAGGAGGAAGGCACGTGAGACCTGCAGGAGGAAGGCACGTGGGACCTGCAGGAGGAAGGCACGTATGAAGGTACGTATGAAGGCACGTAGGAAGGCACGTACCGCTGTAGGAAGGCACGTAGGAAGGCACATATGAAGGCACGTAGGAAGGCACGTACCGCTGTAGGAAGGCACGTACCGCTGTAGGAAGGCAGGGTGGCAGAGGAGCGGCCAGAGCTGCGGTAGGAGGCAGGGTGGCCGTCGTAGTCGTCGTCTGTCCATCGTCCTCCGCCGTCCACTACGCGGGACGGCGCTGTCGACAACAACAGTCGTTTAATTGACTTCTTTATAACATTATATTATTATATATTCATGATATTTATGAAGATTTTATAATACCTTACACTATAATACTATTTTCATCGCATAGTATTATATTTTAAAGTGGCATTGAATATCAAATAAAATATTATAAACATATAATATTTTTAATATGTTCATCATCTTTATAAGTAAATAACATTTTCGAAATTGTACTTTTTCTTTCTTTGAAAAAATAAAAAAATGTACCAGTTTTGATTATTGAAAATATACTGTACCAACTGTGACAATATTTTAACATAAAGCGCCATTTATTTTTCTGATTAGGAGGCATAAGATGAGTCAAAGCGCAGTAAGTGTGCCACTATTAGGACAACTAGAGCCATTAATATCATTGAGTATATGCCCCCTACAGGCGTTGTAAGACGAGTCAAAGCGCAGTAAGTGTGCCACTATTTGGACAACTAGAGCCATTAGTATCATCGAGTGTACGCCCCGTACAGGCGTTATAAGACGAGTCAAAGCGCAGTCTGCCGGAGGGCTCCCTGGTAGCAGACGGCGTCCTGGAGGCGTTGCGTGGGTCGAGGTGCGTCGCCTTCCACGCACGCAGCTTCTCGCGCTCCTTCACCTGCTGCAGGAACACCTTGCCGATACCGCTGCTGATCTTGGCCAGCTCTGCCTCCTCCCGCTGCAAATATCAAGCTTTTAGTGCATCATTCATGGTGTTTGGGGTCTTATTTGTGATATTTGGTGCGTTATTCATGGTATTTGTATTATTTGGCGTTATTCATGGTGTTTGGTGTGTTATTCATGGTGTTTGGTGTGTTATTCATGGTGTTTGGTGTGTTATTTATGGTGTATGGTGTTCATGGTATTTGCTGTGTCATTCATTATAAATGGTGTGCATGTCAGCCCACATCAGGACCCACTCCCCAGGGCCCCACAGCCCACCTTGAGCCCACATCAGGACCCCACTCCCCAGGGCCCCACAGCCCACCTTCAGCCCACATCAGGACCCCACTCCCCAGGGCCCCACAGCCCACCTTCAGCCCACATCAGGACCCTACTCCCCAGGGCCCCACAGCCCACCTTCAGCCCACATCAGGACCCTACTCCCCAGGGCCCCACAGCCCACCTTGAGCCCACATAAGACCCACTCCCCAGGGCCCCACAGCCCACCTTGAGCCCACATCAGGACCCACTCCCTAGGGCCCCACAGCCCACCTTGAGCCCACATCAGGACACACTCCCCAGGGCCCCGCAGCCCACCTTGAGCCCTCATCAGGACCCACACTCCGGGGCCACACAGCCCACCTTCAGCCCACATCAGGACCCACTCCCCAGGGCCCCACAGCCCACCTTCAGCCCACATCAGGACCCACTCCAGGGCCCCACAGCCTACCCCACTCCCCACTCCAGGGCCCCACAGCCCACCTTCAGCCCACATCAGGACCCACTCCAGGGCCCCACAGCCCACCTTCAGCTTGGGGTCAACAAAGGGCGCCTCGTCGCCGTCGACGTCGTCCAGAGGCTCGTCAGACTCGTCGACGCTCGCGCCCTTGCTGCTGCCCGACCACCGCCGCCGCCGCTCTGCGGGACATGACACACTCAGGAAAAAATGGGTCATGTTTTCCCAACAATGACACGCTACTCAGGAAAAATGGGTCATGTTTACCCAATAATGACACGCTACTCAGGAAAAATGGGTCATGTTTAACCAATAATGACACGCTTGAAGACTGGGTAAATAAACGAGGAAGGAACGCAACGGTGAGACCAGAAGTGAGAAAAACGGCGAAGAGTATTTGGATAAACGGACGTGTGAAGAACGTTAAGGGCTAAGGAGTGATACTTGCTGCAGCAGTAGCCTAATACTGCAGCAGTAGGTAGCCTTAGCTACTATATATATGGTAGTTATTGTGTTATTGCAGTATACAGACGCCTCGATTTGCGCAGTGACCAACATCGAGCCTCTAAGGGATGTTGTAATTCAATTTTTATGCCTCCATGTCGGATATTGTAATCCGCAACCACACTGGACATAGCCCCAACAAGGACATAGCCCAGTAGATTAGCCCAACCAGACCAGACGAGAGACCCCACAAATAGCCCACCAAGGTCGGTGTTAGCCCCACCAGACCAGACGGGAGACCCCAGAAATAGCCCACCAGGGTCGGTGTAGGGGTAGGGCGGAGCAGGGAAGTCCTCGCGTTCGATGCGGCTGGGTTGGTTGTATTTGGGCTTCTGCCCGCCGGGGAAGTGGGCGAGGGTGATGGGCTCCTCGTTGTTCATGTGGGGACTCTTGGGGCGCGGGGTCTCGGCCTGCATCTGCGACACCAGCGCCCTCATCCCCAGGCGGCTGGGCGGCTTCCCCAACGGGGTGCGACCGCGTCCACTGTCCCCGGCTGCGCAAAATTTATTTATTTATTATAACATTTATTATACAAATATTAATAAATAAGTTCATTAATTTGTACTGATCATACAGAATAATACTTTGTTTCAACTAATTATTTACGCTGATAAAATTGTAGTGAGAATTAGAGCGAATACAAGTTCTCAATTAAGGGTTCTCAGTCGCACCTTCTGGTCTATGAAAGTGTGGGGTTTTCAAGGGAGGTCTATCGTAGGGGTCTATGGGCTCACCTGGGGGTCTGTGGAAGTGGGGGGCTCTTGGGAGGTCTGTCGTAGGGGTCTATGCGCTCACCTGGGGGTCTATGGAAGTGAGGGCTCTTGGGAGGTCTGTCGTAGGGGTCTATGGGCTCACCTGGGGGTCTGTGGAAGTGAGGGCTCTTGGGAGGTCTGTCGTAGGGGTCTATGCGCTCACCTGGGGGTCTATGGAAGTGAGGGCTCTTGGGAGGTCTGTCGCAGGGGTCTATGGGCTCACCTGGAGGTTTGTGGCAGTGAGGGCTCTTGTGAGGTCTGTCGCAGGGGTCTATGCACTCACTTGGAGGTCTGTGGAAGTGAGGGCTCTTAGGAGGTCTGTCGTAGGGGTCTATGGGCTTCTTAAGATAGCCCTGGCTGGGCTCGGCGGCGAGATAAGAGTACGTGTAGATACGTGAGATGTCCACGGGGCTGCCGCGGCTGCTCTTGTACTCCCGCAGGATGAGACCGGGGGAACAGGTCCGGTATGTGCCGTGGTACTGTACACATGTACATCTTATGTAGTGATTTGATTAATAGTTATTAACAGATATAGGTAATCAAATATAATGTTATTTTAAGTAGGTACGGTATGTGCCGTGGTACTGCACACGTGTACATCTTATGTATTAATTTAACTATCAGTTATTAATAGATATAATAAAATATGTTATTTTAAGTAGTGCGCTATGTACCGTGATACTGTACACGGGATTTATGATTTATATATCGATATAATTATCAGTTATTAATAGATATAATGAAATATACTGCAATTGTAAGTACTATAAAAGTTTATGCAAATTATTGCTTATTCAAATTTTAAATAATATATATTGAAATATATATTCATCTTTCCTGCCTGTAAAGGTTTACTTATAACTATTTATTATACTCTATGTCTAACTATACTTTGTGTTTTCTCTATACTCTATGTTTATATACTCTATGTGGTTCTCCAAAAAATTTAGTACCCGTTTCCCTTAGCCTGAGCTATACATTAATTCGCTATTCATATAACAGGAGTTGGCTGAAGAAATTTATCTAAAAAAAATCTCTAACTTTTGAAACGCTTCTTCATTGCAGCGAAGACTGAAATGAACCCAAATGTATGAAAAGACATTTCATGTACCCAAATTCGCCTTTAAACCAGTATATTCCTCGTAGGTTATTACAATCCATGTAACTAATTTTTTCGTATATTACAGTTCATGGAAGCAAATACACCTTCAAAGCCAGAACATTCGTCGTACATTACAATCCATGTTTATCAATTCGTCTCTTAAAATTCATGAAAAGCTCGAACCTGCGACTCGGAAGCGGTGCTGCTGACGCCGTCCAAGTCTTTCTCGTGCAGCTTGTGCCCGTTAGTGTGCCCGTTAGTGTGCCCGTTAGTGTGGGGCTCGTGCCCGTTAGTGGCGTGACCGTTAATGATGGTCCCGCTCTCGGTGGGTCCGGGCCCACACCGCGGATGCCAGATAGCCGTGCCTGTCCATTAATAATAATATTATGAAATATAGGTATTAACAATCAATAATGACAAGACAACTGCAATCATACTGCTTCAATATAATTTCTAGCTGATAGTTCACGGCATAACAGATCGATTTTTTACGAACTTTAATAAATGCGATTCAAGCGATGCGATTGTTCAAAAAAAAAAAAAAAATACAAGCTATGAAGTCGGCAAGTGGAATAAGAGTTCATTAGTAGCGACATTACCAGCATTAACCATGTACCAGCACCCTGTACCAGCACCCTGTACCCCCCAGTACCCACCCTGTAGGTACATCTCCTCGCCATCCCCAAAAGGGTCCCCACACTTGGTACAGCGAGCACAGGTGTACCAGCACCCTGTACCCCCCCAGTACCCACCTTGTAGGTACATCTCCTCGCCATCCCCAAAAGGGTCGCCACACTTGGTACAGCGGGCACAGGTGGGGTGGAAGTGATGGTTGTCGCCCGCCTGTAGCACCTTGCCGCTGATGAACCTGCTGCAGTACACGCACCGCACCCCGAACTGCGCCTGGTAGTCCTTCTCGCAGTACGGGCGCCCGTCCCTGCCGCGGGGGGCGTGTGAGTGGCGTGAGTGGGGCGTGTGAGTGGGGAGAGATGAGGAAGTGGGGCGTGGATCGGATGAAACAACGGATGAATTTATCAAATGGAGGAGAATAAACTGACAAAATAGAAATATAGAAATTGATTAGACAAGATTAACGGCACGAAAAGCGCGGCCGTGTGATACGAGCGTACATTGCTTGATATAAACATGGCGGTGCAGCAGAGCACTGCACGCTGTACTCACTTGCCCATGTACTCCCCGTGCAGCAGTGCACTGCACGCTGTACTCACTTGCCCATGTACTCCCCGTGCAGCAGTGCACTGCACACTGTACACTTGAAGCACCAGATGTGCCACTGTCGGTCCAGGGCTATCAGAGCCTGGCCCTCGAACAGCTCCTCTGAACAGCCCGCGCAGCCTGACAACGGTCCGCCATTCAGTATAGACATAAATATTCATTATATACTATTTAAAAATATGTTACTATTTCAGAAAGTAAACACGTAGAATTTTAAAACAAATATGTACAATATAACACGCAATCACTGACTGATCAATTGATCAGTTGTACGATCTCTTGTAAGTAAAAACGAACTTTGCAAGAATCGGCGACCTGCCAAACATAGTACCTATATCATGAAAATACTACTCTATATATGTAGTATATAGTACTATACTAAACAGTATGGTATAGAACTTCAAATGTACTATACAATACTCCACTATATAGTCAATAGTATGGTATATTAAATAGCATAGTACTATAGAAGTAAGATACTGAATAATATAGTACCTTAAATGTACTATACTAAACAGTCTAAAAGCAATCTAATGACCACACAGACTAAACCTCACTCCCCAATGAATCACTCACGCGGCCCAGGCTGTGAAGGGGAAGGCTGGGGACTCTGAGTGTCCCTCACGGGGATCTGGAAGCATCGCATACACAGTATCTCCTTGCCGGTGTATGTAACGCGTTCCCCTGAGGGGAAGCTTTGTCTGCAGCGGTCACACGTGAAGCAGCGTTGGTGGTAAGTCTTCCCCAAGGCAGACACCACCTCCCCCTCGACGTATTCCCCACAGGTCTCGCATCGTGTACCGAACTGCTGCTGGTAGCACTCGGTGCAGAAGTGGTCGGGGGCTCGTGTGAAGAAACCTCCCGCTGCTAGCGACTTCTTGCAGCCTGAGACGCGGTGGGGCATATTTTAATTGTACTTAGTTATATTTTATTTTGTTCTAATTAGTCATAACATATTTTAATGAGACGTATTTTATAAAAGATTCACACAGCCTCTGACGTAGAGGAAAAAACCACGTCATAGCTGGAAATCGAAGAGCCGTAATTTATGATCACTCACAGCCTCAAACGTGGACCAACCAGAAACATGACAGGTACAAATTAAGGAAAATGGTATTTCATTAAGTAAATTATTTTCATAAGTATGTCATATTTTAACAAGAGCTTTTCATTAGCCGATTTGTTGTTGCAAGAACTCTTAAATAAAATTGAAGTTAAATTTCACATGACCGCTTCACCTAGAACAATCCTCGAATAAAAGATCATAGAAATTAAGTCAAAGTGTCGTCACACTTGACCAATCAGTTCCAGGAACCTATAAGTTCATGAGTGATTTTATATCACATGGTATATTAACATCTTATACACTCAGATAATCAAGTCTGAAAGTAAACTTACAAAAACGATAAGGACCGAATAAACTGTATTACCCGGAAAGGCAAGGACACGCAAATTAAAAACGTACCCCAATATTAGCGGTAGGCTAAGAGCTAATAATTGGCGTTTAAAAATTACTTTTTAAAGACAACACTTCTTAAGAGGACAGCGTCTGCGATGTTACATGTACAATGAATTTTTTTGAATTTTTTATTTTTTAATGTTTAAAAAAATCATTTTATTACTTTTTTCAAGATTTAATTTTTTTACTTTTTTAAATGATTCATTTTGTCAATTGATTCAAGCACTATCTCAGACTTTAAGCAAGTGTGCAAAATTTCAGATCGATTGGACAGGTAGAAGTTTGTTACATATCGATTATAAGTAATATTTGTAGCAGAAAAACAAACAAACATGAAGTAAAGCTAAAGAGAAGTGTTGTGAAAATTAACGCCGAGCATGCAGAATTTTTGAAACTTGTGAACGCGACTAAAAAAATCAATATTGTAATTTGTAGTAAAATTTCTTAAATTTGATGATAAAATTATCAAATAACAAGCTATGTTTTTTTGAGCTTATTCAATCACACAGATGAACTCACTTTTACAGCTGAAGCACTGCACGTGAAAGTACTTATCCTGTACACGCAGTACTTCCCCCGAGCACTTCTTGGAGCACTTCTCGCAGAACGTCTTGCCTGCACAGCAAACAGCAGTACAATCAGTAACACGCACAGCAAACAGCAGTAAAATCAGTAACACGCACAGCAAACAGCAGTACTACAATCAGTAACACTCACAGCAAACAGCAGTACAATCAGTAACACTCACAGCAAACAGCAGCACAATCAGTAACACGTACAGCAAACAGCAGTACAATCAGTATCACTCACAGCAAACAGCAGTACAATCAGTAACACTCACAGTAAACAGCAGTACAATCAGTAACACGCACAGCAAACAGCAGTACAATCAGTAACACTCACAGCAAACAGCAGTATAATCAGTAACACTCACAGCAAATAGCAGTACAATCAGTAACACTCACAGCAAATAGCAGTACAATCAGTAACACTCACAGCAAACAGCAGCACAATCAGTAACACGTACAGCAAACAGCAGTACAATCAGTAACACGCACAGCAAACAGCAGTACAATCAGTAACACTCACAGCAAACAGCAGTACAATCAGTAACAGGCACAGCAAACAGCAGTACAATCAGTAACACGCACAGCAAACAGCAGTACAATCAGTAACACGCACAGCAAACAGCAGTACAATCAGTAACACGCACAGCAAACTGCTGCATACCGACACTACACATAGTATATGTGCACATCACATGTAGTGACGTCTGTAAAGAGGCTCAAGTGTGGATACATCATCACATTATCAGCTATAAACTTTATGCATCACATGCAGTTGGACCCAAAATATCAGCTAACACAATGCTAATTAAGTACACTAAATATTTATGCATAAATAATTAAAACATAAATATGACGAAATAAATATACACACACTTGCCCACCACCTTGAGACTTTATAACAAATAATCGCATGTAATAAATAATCGCATGAAATAATGTACTCAAAAACACAGATAGGTTGCCCGCTCGAACACACGACACTCGACCGTGGTCCCGTTATCTGCAGCGCCACCGGGAATTACTTGCATTATTACTTTTTTGTATCAAAAGTTCACCAAAAATTCCAAAGCAATGAAAATGCCGAGGAAGTTCACTGTATGCTCATCAAAAAATTAAGATATGGAAAATTTACTTAATTGTTTTCTGTGCTTTTCAATTGTATTTTCATCGAAAAAATAAAAGGAAGATTCGGTGGATTTGCCTAATTGTTGTTGTCGGTGCTTTTCAATTTTATTGTCATCGAAAAAAAAAGATACGGCGGATTTACTTTAATTGTTGATATTTTTGCTTTTCAATTGCATTTTCGTCGAAAAAAAAGAAGATATGGTGGATTTACTTAATTGTTTTCTGTGCTTTTCAATTGTATTTTAATCGAAAAAAAGAAGATACGGTGGATTTACTTAATTGTTGTTGTCTTTGCTTCTCAATTCGCGTTGAACGACCGGGAGGCGCTGTACGTGATCAGACGCCGCAGTGACTCGGCATTTGCCTCGGAATGCCTCTTCACTCAGACAGATGTATGGCTCCTTTTGTCCAAATAGTGACGCACCAAACTACTCAGGATGAACCCATGCAGAAGAACAAATAAGTACATCACTATTTGGACAAGTCTCACTCATTACTCTGAGTGCTCACAGCGTATAAATAGAAATGCGTCACGGAGATGACTAACGCTTGCATTAGCGACGCCTTGTCGCGGTCATACATCATATTTGTTGTTGTTGAATTGTATTTTTTTTCATATCATGCATCATATCATACATGTACTTGTAAATGTTTATTGAATGTTGGAGAGAGCTTATGTGGCCGTTGTTGAAAATTAGATTTGATGAAAATTGCACCATAGTTCATAAATGAGATATTTGATGAAGCTTGTAAGACATTAGCTGAATGTTATGCGATGTTTGATAAAGCTTGTGTGATATTAGATGAATGTTATACCTACGGTGTTTGATGAAGCTTCAGATATTAGATAGATTTTATACGATAAAAGATGAAGCTTCAGCGGATCTCGAGAAAGTTGTATGCATATGTCACTAGAGGATATATGTGCCGTTCTAAGTAAATGTTTCGCGATACGCGCTAAATGTGCGATGCGCGATAAGTGTTGTGCGATGCACGATAAATGTTGGGCGATGCGCGATAAATGTTGTGCGATGCGCGATAAATGTTGGGCGATGCGCGATAAATGTTGGGCGATGCGCGATAAATGTTGGGCGATGCACGATAAATGTTGGGCGATGCGCGATAAATGTTGGGCGATGCGCGATAAATGTTGGGCGATGCGCGATAAATGTTGGGCGATGCGCGATAAATGTTGGGCGATGCGCGATAAATGTTGGGCGATGCGCGATAAATGNAGCAGCAACAGCAAACATAACAGCAGCAACAGCAAACATAACAGCAACAACAACAGTATAAATAACAGCAGCAACAACAGTATAAATAACAGCAGCGGAAGCGGTGAAGGCTGTAGGGGTAGCGGCTCAATGAGTCTCATAAGAGTAACGAGGGACGAGTGCTTCTGAGGGAAGTGACGTGGCCTCTCTAGGTCTTGTGAGGCACGTCTTGGCGACCATCCCTCATATGAGGGAAGTGAAGACGGGCACATTATAAAAGAAAAATATACCCGAACAATAATTTTATGTTGCGTTCAGCATTAAAACGGCTGAATTCTGAAGTGGTGGTGCTAATGTAATGTAAATTGTGTGTCACGACGTACACAGCGACGCACACGACAACGTAAACAGAGACGCACACGACAACGTACACAGCGACGCACACGAGATGACAACACGAGTGTGATGTGCAGTGGGCGGCGGTGATGTCATTCACTCAAGCGGGGCACTTACTGCGTTTCAGTACACACGCAGCATCAGCACACAGCACAGTACATCATACACAGCACAGCACGCAGCACAGTACAGTACGCACAGCACATCACGAAGCACCGTACACTACACACAACACACAACACAGTACACTACACGCAACACATAACACAGCACAGTACCTACAGCCACACCACGCAGCATCACGTCACCATATATAGCACAAGGAGACGAGGTCTTGTGACCAAATATAGAGCCCTCTCATACCCACCCCTCTATACCCCTCCTCCTACGCCTCCCTCCCTCACACGGTAAATGGCATGAGTGCCTCTCCGCGCCTCCCTCCCTCACAAAGTAAATGGCATGAGTGCTTCTCCGCGCCTCCCTCCCTCACACGGTAAATGGCATAAGTGCCTCTCCGCGCCTCCCTCCCTCACACGGTAAATGGCATAAGTGCCTCTCCGCGCCTCCCTCCCTCACACGGTAAATGGCATACGTGCCTCTCCGCGCCTCCCTCCCTCACACGGTAAATAACACCGCACGACGTATTATATTAGCAGCACCGTATTACTCGACCAGTGCGACGTACAGCACCGTATTACTTAACCAGTGCGACGTATTATATTAACAGCACCGTATTATGTGAGTGACTCAACCTCCTAACCTCACATCAATGACGTCATCATCTAGTAAATTACGAACAATGTACAGTCAAATTACATGTTATTTCTAACCCTTCGAAGCTTGTGCAAGAACGCATGCAAATGCCAAGCTTCAAGGAAACCTTCAGATTCAGTGGCATACTAGCATTGAATAAGCATATTGAAAACACGTACAATAAGATCGAAACCTTACGAAATTATCTTGCACTGAATGGTTGTGAATACTAATAATGCAATAATACCTTTCATACGTGCACTGTAAACTAGTATTAAATAGTACCCTCTAGTGGATAAAAGTGAATACCACTGACCTTCTTAGCATACAATTGAATGTAAAAATATATTTCTTCTTTATAATTAATGTGAGTAATCAGGTAGAGAAACAATAGCAGAATTTCTTGGCAAGCGCATGCATAAAATGTGTATAGTCAAATGGGGTAAGACAGGATCGCAGCCTTCATGGGGTAAGAAAGGACCAGCCCATAGCATGCATTCTAATTGCACTGAATTTAATTTGACAAAAGAATATGTTAGAGCAATCATTGCCTGTCATTTCAGTGTTTGTTTCAACCCTCTTCTGCAAATAATGAATTTCTGGCTAATTTTTAAAGAAAACCTATGTAAAGACTGTCTCTTATACACATCTAGATGTGTATAAGAGACAGGGAATGCAGCGGCGGTGGTGGCGGTGGCGGTGGCAGGATATAATCAAGAAGAGCAGCAGTGGAATGCAGCGGCGGCGGTGGCGGCGGTGGCAGGATATAATCAAGAAGCGCAGCAGTGGCTGTCTCTTATACACATCTAGATGTGTATAAGAGACAGTAACTACACCTTGTGATAGGTTTAGGGTTTTTTATTTATTCATGGTATAGATGCTACATGCTTGTTAGAGATTTCGGTCCTGTCTTACCCCATCTGACTATAATGCAGACATTACACATTTTTTTGTAGGTCATTCTGAAAACAGCTTAGCTAGGCAGAAGAACGTACTATTAGCGATATCTATACGTGCAGAAATTGTGTCACTATTTGGGCGATATAACGTAGTAATTCTTCTGAGTGTAGGCATGTGACCGCTTTTTAGAGTGAAGAAAGTTCAAGATGAGTCTGAGGGCAATCGGTTACATGTCCATTTATGGCTCCAACACGTCGTGCTCGCCCAGCTAATTAATACATTAACCTCTTGTTGCACACCACCTCATTTACATATGTAGCTTATTTGCATATAAGAATGGCATCTACAGCAGGTAAATGAGACACTACAGGCGAAGAATGATGCAGCAGCATTACTTAAATAAGCTGAAGTCACAGCAAGCATAAGAACTGAAGCACATATAAAATGTACAACTGCAGCACGCAAACTGAAGGTAGACTAGAGGAGTGTAACTGCAAGAAGTGCATTAAGTGGATGAAAGAGCCACAGCAGCAGAGAAAAGAGCCACAGCAGCAGAGAAAAGAGCCACAGCAGCAGATAAAAGAGCCACAGCAGCAGATGAAAGAGCCACAGCAGCAGATAAAAGAGCCACAGCAGCAGATAAAAGAGCCACAGCAGC